CTCGAGATGTTGTGATTAGAGCGTACATAGTTTTATCTTTCTAGAATGCTCTCCGCTTTTTATTTGTCTTTCTTTTTTTTTATCCTCTATTTTCTTTTTTTCTTCTTCTTTGTCATTCTTCGTTTTATTTCTGGAGGCTAATTGCTAATCTGTGGATTCGTCTAATGTCTTGATCCGATCAACAATAATAAATAAATTACATCACAGTAATGTTACAATCTGAAATACGTAGACTCTATAGAAAGAACAAGAAAAAGTCAAATCGACATATTTTATTTATGTGTAGGAGATTTTTCTTAATTTAAATGTAGTACGCCTACATATCTACATTTTCCTTCTGTCGTTTTTTTCTAATAAAAGAATAGGAAAAGGATCATTATTCTTTTCCCATTTTCGCTCGATAATGTCGTTGTCAATGTTGTCCACCTACGCATCCTTCGCTTGCTTCGATGCTCATTGCCTAATTCGCGCATAACATCTACTCTTTATTTTTTTTTCTTTCTTTTGCGCTCAGCCGAAGGAACATATATGAGAATATTTCTGAATGTGTGCGCACAATTTTGTGCCAGCCTACGCATGTGTGAAGGAAAATCTTTTGTGCGAATGCAGAATGACAATTGTGATCGAGAGTGATGATGGTGGCGACGACGACTTATTCTTCGGGCTCGTATTCAAGTACCATAGAGAAAGTGACGGAGAGACAGAGGACTAGTAGGAACGCTTTTTTTTGTTGATGATCATTTTTCCTCTCGTTCTTCTCCTTCTCCTCTTCACGTTCCTTTATTAACAACATTATTTCAGAAAAATAATGACAACGAACGTGGGCGCGCTGGCGTACCATACAGAAAACAGAAGCGTACCAGTAAAAAAAGAAAAAAAAACTAAAGGAGAACGAGAAAAGATGAGATTAATCGAGCTGGTTTCTTTTCTATTTTTTTTCTATCTTTCTTTTTCACTCGCCAACGTTCAACTATTACCCGAAGGCCATTCAGAGTACCGTTTCTTCATTTTGTACCATTCATTCTATCACTCTATTATTGTAGATCAACAAACAATTAGTTTTCGCATAAAACGAATGAGTTCTAGTGACGATACATATTCAATGACTTCTTCACTACCATCATCACTCGATCAGACACCATTATCATCACTTTCTGCAGCATCAAGTTATGCATCACTTGTAAATTGTGATGAAACAATTTCAATTCATAACGAAGCACATCATCATCATCAACAACAACAATATTATAATAAAAAATCAAAAACAAATTCACTAACTAATGAATCAAAATTATTATCCACATCAGAGTCAAATAACATGAATAATATAATAAATAACGGATCTAATAATATTAATAAGCGTACATGTTATTCAACATTACACAATCGTCATGTAAATAAATTATGTTCCATACTTGAAGAACCAATTGAAATTCATGGTCAAGGAAATTTTCCAACATTAAATATTGTTTCAAAAGATTTTTTAATTGAATTACGACGAGCTTTTCATTTAAATCATATTGATATTAAAGATGTGCGTCTCAATGGAGGTATGAAATTAAAAACAAAAATCAATCAAATAATAAATATTTTATTTATTTATTTTTCTTTTTATCTAAGGTGCTGCTTCCTATGTATTAACAAATGATAAATCATTTTCATATTCTGATATTGATTTTATATTTCGTTGTGATTTATCGTCTGAATCAACATGGACACAAATAAAAACAATTGTATGTGAATGTTTATTTCGACATATATCATCAACAAATTCTTCCAATTCTTCTCAATTATCATTTTCACCTATTATTATTCAAGCAGCATATGTAGAAAAAGTAGTACGTGTTATTAATCCATCAAATAATGATTCATGGGCGCTAATGTCTTTATGTAATGTCAATGGACAAAATATTGAATTAAAGTTTGTTGATCGTATGAAAAGACAATTTCAATTTAGTGTTGATTCATTTCAAATTTTACTTGATCCATTACTTGATCATTACGAACAAATATATAAATATCAACAACAAACGAATAAAAAACAAATACATAATCATAATCAATATCATCATCATTCAAAACAACAATATGGTAAGCATCAGCTGGTATTAAAGATATGAAACTGATAAGAAAAAAAAAAATGCAACAAACAGCAGCTGTAGTTTACTTATATGATTCTGTTTTGCCTTTTTTTCCCTACTTATCAATCAAAGCATAGAAGTGACTTATTTTTTCTTTTGTATTCCGATCGCGTGCGCAAAATAGAGGGGGTGGAAGAACCTCAATCAGTATAACAGCACAGATGATAAAGAAGAAAAAAAAACACAACTAATCAAAACCCACAGGAAGGATATAAAAGCCAAAGAGTATGGACACAAATAAGATCAATTACAAAGTAAATAGCACTTAAAAGGTTGTATTGAATATGACAACAGAAAAAAAGAAAGAAAAACTAACAAATAGTGTTAATCATTAATTTAATTGAATAAAGAAGAAAAAAAATATTTTGTTTTTCAAAATCGTAGTCTGAAGATTAAAAAAAATCTATTTTACATTTATTTAGAATATAATTCAACAAAAAATAATCGTTATTTATCCCCATTACATCATTTACCAACAATATCAGTTGAATGTGTTTATGGAAGTTTTGAAAGTGCTTTAACACATCTTAATCGTCGTCTTATAGCAACAACATCACCTGAACGTATATGTGGTGGTGGTTTACTTAAATATTGTCTTTTATTAACACGTGGTTATCGCCCATATGATAATGGTATAGCATCATGGCAACTTGAAAAATTAATGTGTTCAAGATTTTTTATTGATTATGCTGATATTAATGAACAAGAATATAAATTATTATCTTTTTTATCATCGCATTTTTCTAATGATGATTCAGCTAAATATCGTTATTTATTACAATTACGTTTAATTATTGAACGTAGTACAGTTTGTTTAATGGCACATGAACGTAATTTAACATTAACATTAATAGCACAATTAGCAACTGATTATTATTATCGTTTATGTGATGAATATAATACATATAGTTTGAATGGAGAAACAACAACAGCTGAAGTAACTGTACCAAATTCAATAACAATTGATGTTATTTATCATAATGAATGGGACGAATGGAAATCTTTGCATACACCACCAAAAAAACAAATACAATCACAACAAGATAACTAGTCAAGATTTCTTTACAAGTAAATATGAAAACAAAAAATAATAGTTCCGGTCATATGTTCAATTCACCGTTAGAATTGATTCAGATAGTTTTAGCCAGTATTTTTTTTTCCCATTTTGTCTATCAACTGTTGTGATTGTACAGACATGATTAATTGATTGCGAATGAAAATAAACAAGACTTGTGTTTTATTTATTTGTATTTATATATATATGTATACTCATCATTTATATTATTATAAAGTGTTTTGTTTGTTTTATTGTTCGACAATGATACAAAAAAGCAGAGAATTTTAAATGAGAGAATAAAAAAAAAAAAAATTATATAAATTATCATACAGCCTATTTTTATGTCGTTACTGTTTGTTTTTTGTTGTTTCTCTCTGGTGCGTTTTAAAACATTACATTTCGTCTCTATTTTGGACAAATATAAATAAAAAAAAGACAGATAAATAATGTAAATAAATAAAAAAAAACAACTATGTATTTGCATATTCTTCTTTTTTTATTCAATACATTGCGGTAATGATGCAAGATGCAATTGCATTTCATTAAATAATACATCAAGATATTTTTTGATGCATTAAAATACTTTTGGAATGATGTTGTTATTGTAGAGACATATATTTCACCTAAGGGAATATGTCTGTTTCTTATATTTCTTTCATCTGTTCTGATTGCTCAATTCTATGTTTTTGTGCTTGATTTCATTTATTTTGCCTTCATTTAACATCATACTATTAAAATATATAGGTTTATAGTATATTGTTGTTTTTTTTTTCGGTTCTTTCATTGAAAATGTTCTTTTTGTTTCAATGTAATAAAAAAAAAAACAAGGGAAAAAAGAAAAAAAAGATTTATTAATACTTTTTGTCGGTTTTCTTTTAACATTTTATTAGCTCATTAACTCGACAGGTGCTGGTAATAAAACAATGTTTTACCATCATATGTCCGAATCTGGTTACGCTAATGATGGAATTCATGTTTATTATTGTGGAGAACGAATTAACTCAATGAAAACTATGTCATTTGAAGACCTTGGTTCTGGTTATGGTCGTGATCCTTTTCAAGTGTGTTTTGCTGGTCATATTATTAATGGAGCACATCCTGATTCATTTCAGGTACTTGGTGACGGCTATGCAAAAGATATATTTCATGTTTATTATCAAGGTGACAAAATGCCTGGTCTAATGGCATCAACATTTGTTTCATTAGGCAGTGGTTATGCTAAAGATTCATTGAATGTTTATTACTATGGTCGTAAAGCAGAAGGTCTTGGTTCAATACTATTTTATACATCTTTGAATTGAACATATACTATGAATGTGATTTGTTTTTTATAGAAATTTTACAAAAATACTATATAATTATATATGTAATCAATAGACATAAACAAATAGTTATTTGTATCACTTCACAAGTACGATAGTAATAGTACACATAATGACCTGTATCTTTGAATATATTTTGATGTAAAATATTTAGAATATTCGCGTGATGTTTATAATAATAATTATGAAAGAATAAATGATTCGAAGTATGAATGACAGTTGTGTATAATTTCAAATTATGAAATAACATAAATAATAAACGAAATGAAAATAGGACTACTCATAATTAAAAAACGATTCAGAAAAAACAAAAAATCAAAAACGAACATAAGTTTACCTGTAAAATTACTCTTTTTTGTTGTTGATGTCCTTCAAGTCGAAACAACTGAAGCAAAAATTATCATCAAAACTGTTCCTTTTTTTTTCTAATGTGCATTTACTACTCTATTACCAGCATATTTGTATGTAGTTACTTTCGACATGATCATAGATACGAATAGTTTCGTAGATTCATTAGTACCCAACCCAAATATAATACCAGTATTAATCGATTACAATATTTCACAAATCACACCCTATGTTTTTGTTACTGCTGAAAATACAGCTCGACAATTTCCAAAGATATTTTCACGTGGTATTACTTGTGTAATTAACTTAGCACAAGAATTACCACAAATTGTATTTCCACCTCAATCTGGTATCGAATCATTAAAATATCCTATAATAGATAATCCAGCATTTCCTGCTTCTCATTATTTTGATATTGTTGCTGATCGTATAGCTGCTAATGTTTCTTCAAATCGACGTACACTTTTATATTGTCGTTATGGTCGATCACGTTCTATAACATTTATTTTAGCTTACCTTATAAAACATCATCGCTTACCATTACATGTAGCATATTCACTTGTGAAATCTAAACGGCATTTAGCTTTACCTAATATTGGTTTTTGGTCACAATTAAAATTATATGAATTATATCAACGAAATCAACCACAATATATGCCACAAGTTTTAACATATGTTCAGAATTTTCTAACATATGGTGGACAAATATTAAATAAAATATCTAATGGATTTGATCGACTAATAGGTCAACTTCCGATTGTTAATATATTTGCCAATGCTATGTACCCAATGAATAAAAATTTTCGCGTACAACCTTATTATTGTGCTATACGACGAAAACCATCAGTATATTCACGTCCATACTATATTCGATTACCACGAAGAATCTATCATAGATTTTATTCTTAACAGTAAAACTTATTTTTTATTTATTTATTTTTTTGTCAAAAAAATATACATATAAGACCATTCATGAGATTTTTCTTTCCTTGTCTCTTTTTTTATAAAAGTTTATGATTTACAATAAAATGAGTATTCCATTACGGACTAGCTTTTTTTGTTGTTAACTATCTCCATCTATTTTCTTCAACACTATTTGAGAACGTAACTTGCTTTACTGTGATTCATCGTCAGTCATAGATGATCTTTTTCTATCCCACGACATGAGAAAAAAAAACATTAAATTAAGTACAAAAGCAAAAAACTAAAAGAAATTCTTATCAAAATATATTTCAAACTATATATATATATATATACAATAGATGTCATTTGTACAAGCATTAAAACGTTTGATTACAACAAACGATTCATCATCAACAAGTGGAACAACAATTAATGACGCTAATCAATCGATACCAGATAATGTCACGAATATAAATCATACATCAACAAATGCGAATGGATCAAATTCAACGTTATCAACATCGAAGTCAAATGAAAATTTTAAACCCCTTAGTCAAGGATTACAGAAAAAATATGCTCGAGGTGTACAATATAATAGTAAGATATTATTGTACTCAAGGACATATAATTTTTTGTTTTTAACATATATGCTCAATTTTTAATAGTGAAATTAGTCATACGAGGTGAATGTAATACAGGCAAATCAGTCTTATGGTCTCGTTTACAAGGTTGTCAATTTATTGAAGATTACATTCCATCAGATGAAATTCGTGTTGCAACAATAAATTGGTCATCACGTGTATGTGAAGATGCAATTATTAAAGTTGAAGTATGGGATGTTGTTGATAAATCACGGAAAAAACGACGTCCAGTTAATCCATCACTTAAATTATCAAATGCAATAAATGTTCCTGTTGCTGATATATCACTTGATGCAGAATTTCTTGATGTTTACAAAAGTACAGCTGGTGTTTTATTTATTTATGATATAACAAAACCATGGACATGGGATTATATTGAAAGAGAAATTGTTAAAGTACCAGCTCATATACCGATATTACTTATTGGAAATCAATTAGATTTGGGTCATCATCGAAAAGTACCAATAGATAAATGTCTGAATTTTATTGAAAATCTAAACAGGTTAGTATGCGTTTCATAGGTAACGATGCTATGAGACTTGAGTAGACCGAAGTCTCCCTTAGATTCAGGTATCGTACACTTAAGCATATGTTTCTCATTCAATTATATTGATAGATGTATGCAGTACATCAACATTCTATTAGAAACGACAAATATTTTTCACCGCTTTCTTCGACAAGAAGTAGCATTTTTTGGAAAATATTCTTGAGAAAAAGTTGAGTTTTACATTACCAATGACTTGAAGTAGTATTCGTTTGTTGCAAGTGAAGAAGAATTAGATTAGAAGCCCCGAGTAAGATAAACTGCAAGCTACTAGAAGTTTTCGTCACATTCACTTGTTAAACTTACAATATTTTCATGAAACTGAGCAAATTCACTACGCAATTCCTTTTTTTGTCAACATGCTGCTGTTACACTATTATTATATTTTTTCAGTAAAACCGATCAAAAAATCTTCTTTCGAGAGTTGAAATTAATTAAAACAAAAACGTTGACGTGCTTTCAAGTACTCATTTTTTTTAATGCAAAATGCAATTCTCTTCTAAGCTGTACTAACTTTATACAATATAAAATGTCAGTTCGAATAAGAAGGAAATACCAACTGTGTTTCATATAAATATCGTAAAATAACTCATCTCGTCTTCCTTCCTATTCTTAACTTCCCAGTGAGCACCTTATCAAGTTTATTGAACCTACTACTTTAGATTGAAAACGTTCCATAGTCTACTTTTAGTTATTTTCAAAATAAACATCCGATATTTTATTTTTTCTTATTTGAAGAGGTACAATGGGTTCAGTAGTTCGTTATTGTGAAAGTTCAATGCGTAATGGATTTGGTCTACAATATATACATCAATTTTTAAATATTCCATTTTTACAATTACAACGTGAATGTTTACTTCAACAATTACAAATAAATGCACGTGATATGGATGCATCATTAGAAGAAATCGATACATATGCTCGTAGTACAGATAATAATTATGATTTATTTATTGAAATGCTTTCTAATAAACGTCGTTCAAAACAAGAAGCACTTGCTGGTGATATTGTAGCCAAAGCAAAACCATTAGAAGAAGCAAAACGTATTCATGATGAAGCTCTTCAAGCAGCAGCACTAGCTGAACAACAACAACAACAACAACAACAATTAAAATCTTCACCAATAAATACAATTGTACAAGTTATTAAAAAAACAACTGAAAGTCCACCAGCAACTATTAAGCCAACACCAACAACAAAACAAAAACCACCTATTGTGGCTGTTCAACCAATTGTTCAACAAGGTTAATCATACAAAAATTTCTTCTTTTATATATGTATATGTTTGATTTTTAGTTATTCCAAAATCAACTATTAATAATGAACTTAATAAGAATATTATTGATAAACATCGTTCATCTGATGATTATACAGAAACACATTTATCAAATCCATTAGTAACATCAACTGTTGATGATTTTATACCTGATGATAATGATTATGAAACATTTCTTGTTGATGATAATACTACATCTCAGCAACAACAACATTTATCAATTGATACATTAACTAAATCTTCAACCATAAAACTTTCAGTAACAGATGAGTTAGTTATTTTCTATTTAATTTATTTTCAAAATAATCTTTTTCTTTTATTTTTCTTTCAATAGTGAAAATGAATTAACAGTAAATCCAATGGTTAAAGGATTTCGTGAACAATTAGACTCCGATGATGAACAACATGAACCACCAATAATGTATGTTAATTTAATAAAATAAATATAATTTTTATTCAAAAATTCTAGTACTAAGGAATCAACTGAATATGAACCAGCATCACCAACAGTCGAAACTGTAAATATATTATTTCATTTTTATTATAAGGGCAGTTCAAGAGTTACCGGACAATTTTTAGAACAACTAAGATTGAATAAATTGATGTACTCAGAACTTGAAGTGCTATGTGAACTTCAAAAACATCGGTTTTCTTTAAATCTTGAATTTTTGAAAAGTTCTTTTAAAAATCTTTTTAAATATTATGTTTATTTTATGATTCAATACTTTCAAATGTCCTCTTTTCAATGGTGAAAACCGTATCTCTCTTTCTTGTTCTTATCAAAAGTTAATCAAAATAAAAAATTGCTCAGTGACTTTTGAGTCACCTTCTAAATCAATCATTAATATATATTTTTTTTTAATAGGTAACTCAGCCAATACTACCTCCTGTATATCATCAAATATCATCATTTGATCTTGATTATCTTGATCAATTATCTTTATCGAAATCCCAACAATTGAACAACGAATTACAAGCACTTGGTATGATTTTATTATTTAAAGAGCTTATTGATTAAAATTTATTATTGTCTAGATTCACAAAGTACTCATAGTGATTCAACATCAACAAAATCAAAAAAAAAGAAAACAACAACAAAATCTAAAAAAGTTAGATTAAAAATAATTTCTAAAAGAAAAAAACAAAATAAAGTTTCTACTTCATTTATTTTAAGGAAACAAATGTTTCAACAACTGAATCAACAAAAACAAAGAAAAAAAAGAAACCTTCATCAACTAAAACAAATATTTCGATTACTACTGAATCACCAACTGCAAATACTAACGATGATGATGATCTTGAATCCTTTCTTGCTGATAATTCAACAACAACATCTAAACATGATCATGATTATGAACATGTTTAAAACAATATTTTCATTATGTCTTTGTTTTTTTTTTTTTTTTTTGAAAAATCAATCTAGTCCATTTAACATTATCTATCATTCTATTTTTTTTCTCTGTAATAAATGTCTTTGTTCGTTGGTTTTAATTTCTTTATTAAATATTAATCTATGATGTATTTCTAGATTTTGAAAGAATGTCTTTACATACAGGTATTAAAACATATGATTATTTGGAATAAACAAAATCAAGGAAATTATCATATTGATGTTTTTTTCATTCGTCTAGGTGTATCATGTGATGCATGTATGAGAACAAATTTTCCTGGTCGTCGTTATAAATGTTTACTATGTGATAATTATGATTTATGTGGTTCATGTTATGATCTTGAAGCTGAAAGTCAAAATCATAAAAATGATCATCCAATGCAATGTATATTAACTGAAACAGCTTGTGGTTAATAATTAATAATAATTTATTTTATATCAATATGTTCATATTAATTTTATTTTTAGAATTATTCTATGCAGGTGAAACAATTTCTAGTCGAAGTGTTGTTTCATTAACATGTCCACATTGTGGTACAGCGGGTTTTATTTCACGAACATTACTTATACATTGTGTGGAGAAACATCCATCTGGATCACCACAAACAAAAAATACCCAGACTGTTGTATGTAAGACCTTGATTATTTCTCATATACATAGATCAATTATAAATTTATTTAAAAACGAGAAAAAAAAGCTTTGTGAAAGACGATCTGAAAGAAATGTTGAAGTATGTAGAGTAGAAACTTTGATCCCCACAAACCATGACAGACATTATGTATACACGATCAAAGATCATATATCAATAGCGTCTTGTAATAAAAGATGAACTACTTACTTATTGCATTTGTGGAAGTTTAAGTAAGAGGATGGTGAAGAAATGTGTTCCAATATAGATAGAATAAAATAATCGTCCTACGTTTAGCAAGAGCAGCTACATCGTGTTTCACACTTTAATACTGCAGGAATTGTGCTAACAGCCAGTATATTTTTTATAATGAGTTTTGTTTTTTTGAGAAAAGGAAATTGTTTTGATTTTTGTCTTTTTGTTTAATTTTATTTATAGATGTGTCCAATTTGTGTGACTTCTCCATCGCATAGAAATCGATCTCGTTTTGCTTTACTTACTGATCATATGTTAACAGTACATGACGATGGAACTGGAGGTGATGATGAAGAACCAACAATATCATTATCTATTTCTAAAACACGACGTGATGAAAATGAAGAAGTAATCGAAATTATTAAATTAAATTATATCTTTATTTAAAAAAAAAAATGAAATTTATTTTTATTATTTAAAAGGAAGATTCTGATGAAGATGATGATGAAGAAGAAGAATCTTCTTTAAATGATCTTGAACATCGAGCATTTATTGAAGAGGAACAACGTCGTCAAGAATCTGCTCGTCAAAGACTTGCACATGCATCATCATTAGCAGCAGCCATTAGAAATGAATATACTGCAGGTTTAACAGGAAATACAAATTCACAACGACGTCCTCTTATTAGACAAACAGCGATTCGTGGTATTAGAGGAGGTTTACGAGGTAAATAAACAAGACACTAAAAAAAAAAAAAAAAAGAAACAAACAAGATCAATCATATATTTAGGTCATTTTAATAATTTTCCATATGGAGGTGTATCTCGTACAGCAACTGGACTTACGACTAGTACATCAAATCGTGGCTCTTCTGATACAACAACAGCAAATGCATCTCAAAATACATTTTCAACTGATCCATATGCTGCATTTGTCTTTGCTCAAGATCCAATGCTTGAATTTGTTTCACGACTTGTTAATAATCAACAATCATCAGCAACACCATCAACAAATACACCAAATAGTCCATTTCTTTTTACACCATCGATGCCAATTCATGTTCCATCATCGATGACTGCTGCAACAAATGAATTTTCACGTTTTCAACAACAAATTGAAAATAATGAATCAATCAGTCCATTAAAGTATTATCTATTGAATTAATTATTAACTAAAAAAATTTTTCTTAGATCAACTTTATTAAATAGCAAACAAAAACGATCTAGTCATGCTCAACAACAACAACAACAATCATCATCATCACAATCGATGACTTTATCTTATCCATTAACTTATGACTATCAATTGTGGCAACAAAATTTTTCAGCTTTACAACCATCGACTAATAATCTTAGTTTTTTAACAGGAACTTTACCAACTGATTCAACAACAGGAAATAGTAATTCTTTATCAAAAAATTCTCAACAATTAAATCGAGAATATAATCCTCGATCATTACTTGGCAAGTAAGTATTTTTTGTGTGTTTATTTCTAATAAATTTTTTTCAATAATATATTTTTTTTTCTCTTTTGTTTTTGTTTGTATTTTAAGAATATTACGAAATGATCATGACGTACCTAATGATGAAACAAATGAAACTCGTACACGTCAATTACAAAATCATATATCATTTTTACAATCAATTCTATTTTCATCAATGACGACTAATTTAAATGAAGAACAAAATGAAAATGAATTAATTATTAACAAAGAAAATCTTTGCTAAACCAAGAGACAAAAAACATTTAATGTTAGAAAAAAAAACATACACAAAAAAAATGAAATCAAGAGAAAAATAAATTTTATTTAATCTTTAATCTAACTCTACATATAGTAAACATAAGCACGTTTATCCTTTTTTTCTTTCTTTTTTTTTTAAATAAATAGTTTCTTACCGGCAAATAAAATAATTTATCATATATACAATAGCAAAAAATAGTTATCATAAAAATACAATCTATTTGAAAGTAATATAAATAATGTAATTCCAAGTTTTTCACTCCCACACTATCAAATGTATTTCTTCTGTTATTTTGAAAAAAAAACAAATATTCATAAACATTCCTTCACGTATCTTACTTTTTATCTTCCATACTCGTTCGATCTTCATATCATTGCTAGTATAAAATTAGGATTAAATCATATATACATCAAACATGGGTTTACATCCACGAGAATGCCTAAATCATTATCATTTAATATGTTTAACTGGTCTTGTTGCTATATCACTAACATTAGTTATTGTTGGTGGTTCACTTTCAGCTTGGTGTATTCGTTATGGAAATGCATATGAATGTCATTCATTATTTCATTCTGATCGAGCTTTTTCATGTCTTTTTAAATTAATTCCAACAGGAATTATATTTTGTTTAATTATTTCTTTATTTATGTTCATTATTTTAATTATTGGTCAAGTATGTATTGAATATTCTGGTATTGCTAAAAAAGAATATCAACTTGTTGCTCGAATTGTTAATATTCTTACATTATCAATAGCTATTATTTTAATTATGATTGTACTTCTTCAATGGTTTCATCCACCAAGAGATTCATCAAAAAATATTTTAGTTGCTATGATGCCATTACAAGATGAAACAAATAATGCATCAAAACCAAAACAAGAACGTATTATTTTTGCAACAATTGCACCAGATCATTCTTCATATTTAAAAGCAATTGGTGTACGACATCGATCAATGCTTACTTATCATCAAAATATTCATCATGGACCTAATTTATTCTTTGCAGCATTTATTATTCTTTTTATTGCTTTACTTGGTTTTGCCATGGCACATCGAATATAAAATTAGATGTAGAAGGAAATAAAATTTTAAAAAAAAAGTAAACACATTTTTCTAATAAATATTATTATTTTCTTTGTCGTTTATTTAAAAAAAAATGAAATACTCGTTCAAAGTATCTTTGTATTTATCAATTTTTTTTCTTCTTTTTGTTTATAAAAATTAAATTAATGATTAGAAGAAAAAAAAAAATATCTTTAAATAAAATTATCTAATAAACATAGTTATCATATTCTCAAACGAACAATTATTAAAAGATCGATAAAGATCTGAGAATAATTTACATTATCAATTGAATTCATTTATTTATGACAAATATGATTTTCAGATGCAAACAATATCTGATCAGATTCTTAATAAAATTTATCTGATCAAGATAGTCTTACAATCTCATATTACAACAGAAAGATAATCTTCAATTGCTTCGTTATAAAATTCGAAGTGACATAAACCAATGACAAAAGAAATTAGAAATGCAATATATCAAAGTCTTCCTCGTCAATAACATGTCAATTTATTGAGATATATATGTATGGAGAAATAGCCTGATGCTTGATCTTGCATAAACAACATGAGTTTTTATTTGGTATCTTAACTTTTGTCAAAACTTTGCTTGAAAAATATCCTGCTGTCAGAAAAAGCACGAATTTTTTCGAGTTTTGCTTTATTTATGCTTGTCTGATTGTGCATCTCGAAGAAACTTCATTATAAATAATTGCTTTTTCTTTTGTTGACAGAGCTTGTGAAGCTACAGCGTCTGACAGATCTTGGTTTTTGAATTAAAATTTTTTTATCATTATATAAAAAAAATCACCATCTATAAATAGATGGCCTTTTCTTAAGAGTTTTTCTACGTATTGAACTTGTTATCCTTTTTCTTCATATAAAAAGTACGAATTTAAAAAAGCTATATGCTAGGCACTGCAATCTGATGTGCTTTTGCAAACAATAAACATAAATTCCTAGAACATCATGATATAGAGCTGAAAATTTTAGACTAGTATCGCTATTACAGCTCCAACATATTCTCAAATTTTTATATGATTTGAATAAATATGGCTCAAGATCGATTTCTTTTAGAGGACTTTAAATAACACTCCTTATTAAGTTAACATTGTTGTATATACAATCTGCCCATGTAACGGTCCATTTGTATGAACGAACTTGAGTTGTAAAATTCAACAAAATAAATATAACTATCTTATAGAGTAATGTCTATCGTATATAAAAGTATAGTTTTTATCTATGTCGATTTATATATCATAGAGAAAAAATGCTATTAATGAGATATTATTCAGCATTGGTCAAAATCAATATTCGCCATACGTGTTTATTTTTTTATTTTTCTCAAAATAAAAAACAAATATGGTTTTTATCAAAATCGATTATATATTCTAAAATTGCTTGGCGTAGACTCTTTAAACATAACAAGAGATCTAAGCTTTGTTTCTTTTTAAGAAAGTTATTTACATTTGAGAAAGTGCAAAATCTTGTAGTTCATTTTTCGTCAAAAATAAGATGTTTCTGATTCGATAAATGAGTACTCTAACGTTACTTTTTATACCTTATCAAAAGAACGAATTTGATTTTTATAAAAATTTTATTTTCATTAGAAAGAGCACAAACGAATCATCATTACATAACTAAGTTATCTCGTAAAAAATAAAAATCTCATTTGTTTTTCGTATATTATAATTCTAGACATTATTTTAGATAGACGAAAAGGTTTAAAAACTTCACTGCATAATTCTACAGTTGATTTATGATAGTTTCAAGTGAGTTTCAGTATTAGAATTAACGGCAACACTTCGATGATAATATTTGACGTGTACTTCATACTTTCATAACAGAATTTTGTCATTATCAGAAGGATGATAAAAAGTAGAGCCTGGTAGTTTCGAAAAGAGGAAGCAGAAAACTAAACCGGAACTGTGAAACAAAAGAAGCTAGTCCCGGAAGCGGAACCGCGAAGAAAAAAGATGATGAAGCCGGAACGGAAACCGTCAAAAACAAAGAGAATGAAGTCGAAACCGGAAATGTGAAGAGAAAAAGAACGAAGCCTAAAGCGGAACCGAAAATTTTATTGACAACAGGAACTGTTCAAGTGTTGTATAATCTAAAGTCGAATAGATCAATCGACAATTACACCAGCTATAAACTATGCGTATTTTTCAAAATTGCATGAAAAAAGAAGTCAAAAATAGCTAAAAGTGTGATTAAGTTCCCTGAAAAAACTCTAGCGTCACCTAAAAATTACTTTATCAGAAAAGGCAAGGTTAAATATTCTGATGTGCACTTTCATAATCATCATAGATTTGAGCCATGTCCCTGTTAAAAACGATGCTTTTGCCATTAGAAATGACTTTCTGTCTAACAATATTATTTTGATCGAAAAAAAGTAGATTTTCCGTACAGCAGTTGTTTGTTGACGCATCTCCAGTGATATTGCATCACAGTAAGAGATAAACTAAAATTTTCGTTTTGTTTGACAACACATTTTTTTCATAAAAAGTTTCACCAACGAAAACAGTATTTTTTCCACTTCAATAAAAATTTTTATAAAAACTTGTTTCTTTTTTTTATCAAACGTCTCAGCTTTGGTGAGTATTTTTAACTTAATGTGTATCTTAACAGTAGCAAAAGAAGAAAATCAAAAAATGAGTTATGAAAGCTACTAGACCTCAATGTCTTCTGTTAAAATAAAGAAAAAAGAGCAAGCTTTTCCACTCGAGTTGACTCAATGCCATTGAAGATGCAGCAGACACTAAAAATAAGTATTATATACGACCACTAAGCATGTGATATAAAGCTGAAATTTCTTTTCATGCGTACGTGCCATCTCTCAGTGTTTACACAAAGCTTCAGCTCGATATGATTCTTTATTAATGAAAAAAGTATAATACAGATTAACAGTCATGATTTTCTCATCATTGCTGTTCTATGTTTTATCTTTCGATGCAATCGCTTTTTCAAAAATAATAAACATTAATAATCTCGAAAAATCATGCATAGATTAAAAGTTACTAAAAAGCAATTATTATGTCAGTTATCTTGTTTCCTATAATTAGATCACTGGTTCCAAAAACACTTTTTAGAAACTGAAACTGGAACTGATTTTGTTTCACTTTTACTAATCGGAACCACCGATCTCTAATGAAAAGTGGTTTTTTTTTATGATTAGTTTTTTTTAAATAAATGGTACTACATAGTAGTTTGTTTGTTCGAAAGAATTAAAATTAACTATCTGAAGTGATAAACGTTGAAGAAAACATGATTCCAACATGATTGAGTAAATCGTATAAATATTATTGCAATGCCAAAAGAATCCGATCGAAATAGTTTTGTGTATTATTTAAAGTCAGATTTTCTTCTGGTTGTCGACCAACATTATCAAAGTTTGATATTGTATCATTAAGTTCACTTATAAAAGCCATGATAAATTTCATTTCTGATCTAGCTAGATCGTTATCATTGACTATTAAATGATGAACAATTGTATGGAACGATTTATTAATATTCACAATCTGTGACTCAATTTCGTAGATGCATCTACGATTTGCCATATTGCAACTATAGGTTTGTATTGTCGTGGACCAGTCGTTGCCAACTATGTTTTTAACGATCATAATTTTTAATATCTATATATATGCAGGGCCCATCTCCTATTTATATATACGTGGATAACGGGGGTGCCAACAAGATACATTCCAACTAAATCCACCTGCGTTGTTTTTCTTCGGAGAAAAGATCTACTGAGCTGCATGAGATAAAAATTCGAATATTGCAAAAAAAAAATGCTGTTGCACCCCCATTTGCGTGTTTTTTATTCGTTTTTTTGTCGTCGGATAAAATAATATTTACTACCGAGAAAAAAAAAGCATGGGCTTATTGGTTATTTTTTGTTTGGTCTTCTCGTCGATTTTTTATTTCTACTTTGCAACAACATAAATGCGGGGTATTTATACATGTCAATATTTACGGATTACCATCAATATCGAAAATATTGATGGTAATAGAAGAATTAAGTAAGTAGAAGTAAGTTTTACAAAATATTTATATTTCTTCTTTTTATAATAAGTAGTGAGACATAACATGACCTTGCCATAGAGTATGCAAGTTTTGACAGTTTGAAAATATCATGAAAGTTATTTTTTTTCTCTTTCATTAATTATTCATCTTCTAAATTTAAATTACATTTTTCAAATAATCCGTTAATCTTCTGATTAAATATTGTCTGTTGTTCATTATGATCAAGATCGAAATCTGCTTCAAATATTTTTGTTTTTTTATTGTTTCGTAAAATATGTATTACAAATGAACCATAGATTTGAATATTAATTAAAAGTAATGTTCGTATACATGCATATACAATAGAAAATGTTTTAATTGTATTATTAATAATTAAATTTGATTTAATAATAGAAATAATTCGTTCAGTAAAATATGGAATATGAGAATATTTATTTTCAAAATATGAAATAAGATCACTAGCTTGTTCTCGCATCATCCATATTGTTGAATAACTATTCAAACTATTATGATCTATTGTCAATAAAATATTATCCGTTTTTGTCATATCAAATATGCATACAAGACAAGTTAATAATGTTGGAATGATTGAATGAAGATATTTATCAAATGAAATAAATCTATTTATTGTAAGCATTTTTAATATTGATAAAAATCGAAGAATAAAATTGAGATCATGTAAATGAATATTTGTTTGAATACCTTTGGCAATAAATAGAAGAAGACGAGGTACAAGAGGTTGTAAAGCAGCATCTGATGAAAAACAATGAAAAGCATCCGTACATTGCTGATCTGTTCCATTAAAACATGATTCAGTTAATAATTTAAAATATAATTGTTGTTCTATGCTTAATTCATGTGCAAGACATGCTGGAGATGATGACACTATGTCATAATTTGTATGAAGACGACGCACGGGCACATTTCGAGGATGAATTGGTTTGACGGTTAAATTATTCTTTGTTAACGGATGAACATGATCTTGAAGTTCATAATTTCTATAGCATAAATATTTACAATGACAAGCTAACATTCAACATGATTATTAGTGTTCATTGCAAAATATATTGTGTTCCATTGTTTTTTGAATAACTTTTGGTAGAAACATCATAGAGATTTACGGTTTTCATCATTCAAAACAGAAGACTAGATACCATCGAAGTATAGTGAGATTTAATTAATCAACAATCGACCAGCTATGTGAGTTCTTGATTGAAATTCTCAGAAACGGTATTCTGAAGCTGTTCTCCTTTCGATTTACGCAACACCGGCATTTCTAGCTTGTTCCATTGAAGAGTTATAAGACTTTTCCTGAGATCTTCGATTTCAGCTAATGAACCTATGATCACCCGTAAAAGTGGCTAGGCAAGAAGAGTTCAATATGTGGAGTTGAATGGTGATATTTGGTTTTATGTTTGAACTGATTTGATACTTTCAAAATATCGACTTTTTCGCTACACAAAGGCTGCTTGTGGAATTTCAGCAATATTGGTATAACAGAATTAGATTATTTTGAACCTAAAACCAAATGTCACCATTCGACTCAACATGTTGAATTATCCCTGTCTAGCTGTTCTTTTTTGGGTAATCATAGGTCAATTCGTTAAAATCTAGGGATCTCTGGAAAAATTCTTATAACTCTCGAACGAAACAAGCTAGAAATATCGACGTTGCTTAAGTCGAACGAAAAATAGCTTCAGAATGTCGTTTTTGAGAATTTCAATCAAGAACTCACATAACTGGTCGATTGTTGATTAATTAAATCTCACTATACTTCGATGGTCTCTGATTTTCTCTTTTAAATGATCAAAATCACATGTCTCTATGACGTTCCTATCAAAAGTTATTCAAAAAAAAAAAAGTGGAGTACATTATATTATAAAGTGAGTAATAGTTTACTTTGTTTTAGTTGAACTGGCGATTTCAAAAAGTTTCTTTAGCAAAGGAGATTTATTAATAAGTTCAGACGATATTATTTTTCTATCGATGGGTTTTTGTTGTTTGTTTTCAAATGAATTTTCTTCAATGAAACTTGGAGATGGATTGTCGGGTATAATCGGTTGTTCTCCATCGATAGCAAGCCAATGAATTGTAAGTTGAAGTCTATCGATTTTCGATGATATTTGATCTATTTGATTAAGTAATGATAAAATAGAAATATTTGTTTCTTCCGATTGTTTTCTATTGTTAGTAAGATTTATATGTTGATGAATATTTCGAGCATCAAGTACAGTTTGAAAATCAATAGTACGAAGACAAATACGTTTACAAACACGTGCATAAGTACGTGTTTCAAGAATAAGACTTCGAACAAGAAATAAAAGTTCAATATTAAGTTCTTGAATACATTCAGGTGAAAGTGAAATAGATTGATATTGATTCCACCAATCATCAGGCAAGGCTTCTAACCAAACCATAATGATGATTCATTCTAATTAGATTTCTTTCTCTTTATATTGATGATTCCTAATCATTGATTTATTACTTCTTCAAGTATGTTGATAATGTTAAGCAAGACATGAAGTGAACGGTTATTGATTTAAATCTATTGTCTCAACATCATATTGAAGAAATAGATAAGAATAACTAAATAATTTTAAACATATACAGTCCTAGACTTAAATATTATATAATTTTGATTAGAAAAAAAAATTCTTCGTCATTTTGTTGACTCATCAATCAATTATTTCTCACCAGATTCAAGATAAAATAGTATATAATGACAACGAACTAAAGTTATCAAAAGCTCATGGTTAATACATATTCAAAATGTATGTGTGCATACTTTTCTTTGATCTAACTCGTTATAGCACCAAACATAAAACTATTGTTGTTCATTTATTTGAAATTTGTCAAGAACACGACTGTCAGAAATCAGTACGAGAGATAAATGAGTTTCGAATTACATATCAAAAATCAAAAGGCGCAAAAGTATATGATATCAATGATTCATTGACGTCGATTGTCATATGCAATAACGAGAGCAATCGTTGCCAACATGATTCTGCTAGTTATTTATTTCTTCAAGATGAACGATTGTGAAAAATAAAATCAAGATAATCAAACAGATTTTTTCTATTTACCTATCAACATAAGTAAATCAAAGAAGATCTTTTGTTTAGTGTCATTAAAAATATAAACCTATCAAATAACAACGTATGTTAAATCAAGTTCATGATTGCAATAAACTAATAATTACAAAAGATAGAAAAACTCTCGAAGCAGTACAGATAATGCTTCAATATCAGTTTAAAAATTATATGAAAAAATTATTTGAAATCTAAAGTAAAAAACCATAGATTCAACAGATCTTGATCAATAATATACTTCCAGAAAAGCTTAATCTTACTCTATCACAAGTCAAAGTTCAATATTCATTATTCACTCATTGAAAAAGCATGATTAATAAAGAAAACCGAGATTATTGGACAAATTAGAAAATTAAAACAACACTAGAAAAATTCAACTACAAAAATCCATAATTAATCATCAATATTTTTTCCATATGATTCTTAGTAGATGTATTCTTGTCATAGGACAAAAGTATGTTTGTATTTATTTATCCACCAATCATTGACATGCATCTATTAGTTGATCAAAACAATAAACAATATAGTGTATTGCTAAAAAATGCATTATCATCTGTTTTTTTCTTCTCTACTTACAGTAAAGTAACAAGTAATCATCATTTATTGGGCTACAGCTGAGTAATCTAACCTTCTTGTGCAAATAGAAGGTAAGGTATATACTTTTAGTCAATATTTATATTCTATATAATACAACACGAAAATAGTCGCACAATTTTCATGGCTCAAGGACATCTTCGTGTAACTGTAGTCGAAGCAGCAAAACTTACTGACAAAGATAAAACAGACTTTAATGATCCTTATGTTGAAGTATATGTCGACAAAAACAACAAAAAGAAAACTTCTGCACTGAAAGATGTGGAAAGGCCTATATGGAATGAAATATTTGAATTGTATGTAATGACCTTTTTTCTTTTTATTTGTTTTTCATTCTTATTGAAAGTCTATTCTTGTATGTAGTGATTTATGGCCAAGTAATGAATATCTTTATATAGATGTCTATGATGAAGATGAAGGCAAAAAACCAGACTTAATTGGCTCGGCACAAATTTGTCTTGATGATATTATTAAAAAAGGACATTTTGATGATTGGGTTAAATTACCTGGTTTTCTCGGTTTTGGTAACCATGGAGATGTACATATACGTATGACTTTTGAAAAAAGATCAGTAGAATAATATTTACTAATTTACTGATTTCTTTTTTTTGTTAAATATAATTTAAAGAAAAACAATAAAGAACAAATACGATCTTTTCGTTTTCCTTAGTCATCACCACAAGGTCCATTATCAACTGGTGAACTACATGCACCACTATCCGATGAGGAAGACGATGAATCTGTATCAACATAACTGTCATTATCAGCTGTTGATGATACTCGTAAATTGTTCATTCGATTACGTAATGCTACAACTGTATGAAGAGCATATTTTCGATTATGATGATGAGTACAACTCATTCGACGAATATCAGTATTACTCGAATAGCAACAATGTGTTATTGAACGTGAAGGTCGTTCATTATGATGATAATGATATCGTTGACCTTTATGTTGATGAACTGTTGTTGTTGTTGTTGTTGTGGCTGTTGTTGATTTTAATTGTTGAATTGTTTGAATTTTACTATAAATTGAAAGAAACATTTTTTTTAAATCATGATCAGCTCGACGAATTTCAGACTAGAAATAATCGAATAAAAATAATAATTTCTCTTGGTTTTCTTTGACAGTTTTTTTTTCTTCTTACTAATTCATCTTGTATAACATCAAGAATACTTCGTGATGATGAAGGTACTTGTTCTTCTTTGACATTAGTTAATGATTGATCACACAATTGACTTGTTGATTTTGATAAATATTTTTTAGATGATTCTAATGAAATAGATTTTTCATTTATTTTTGAGTTTAATGATGATGAATTAGTTTGTATCGTTATAACTGATTTTAATGAATCATTATCAATTAAATTGGATGTATTCGTTAAGAATGAGGTTGTTTGTTCAGCCGGTATTTGTTGAGGAATAGTTTGATTGACTAGAGATGGAGTGGATACAGCAGAAATAGATTCAGTTTTTTGTTTCGACAAAATCAATGATGGTAAAGGTAAACTTGGACGAGAACAAACTAATTCATAAGTATTTAAACGTTCTTGTATAATAGGTGCTGTTGTACGTCGACGTTTCGTATATGAGCTTGTAGACTCAGACGATGAACATTCCGATGATGAAAAAAAACCTGAAGTAGCACTTGATGATACATCAGATAACGGTGTTATTGTTATTGGAATTTCAGATAATATTCTTAAGACAGATGATGATGATGATGGTGGTGGTGGTGGCGGTAGCGGTGGCGGTGGTGGTGATGATGAAATCTTATCAATTATTTCTATTTCTGATGGATGACGACTGTAAAATTTGGAATAAAAAGAACGATCACGCACAGATGAAGGAAGGTGCATTCTATAAATAAATAACAAACTGCTGATTATGTAAGATCTGTCATCTAGCTTTAAGCCAATTATGACGACACTCCTCTAAGAATAACATATATCACTATTGTATGCATACTTTGATTGATGTAATATGTACATGGTCCATTCTTTCTCTTGTTAGTACTGACTCGGCAGTTTACTATTGGGATGTAAGCTTGTTTTAATACATAAGAAGCGAAAGAAAAATTCAACATATGAACGCATGCCTTCAATCTACTACCTGCAGAGATATGGTAAAAAGGGTCACCATCAACTCACTTTTTCTTTAATGAACATTGTAGACTGGAGGGTGAAAAATGAAATAGTAAAAGATGGAACGTTGTCGTCTAATAAATATGAAATACTTAACTAAGTAGAAGGAATCAATAATTGTTTTATACGTGTTGTCATTCAAATAAATATATATATATATATGTATATGTATATTTGTGTAAAATATACAGATGCATAGAACACATAAGTATCGTACGATTTACAATTATAGGTTGTTGGTAACGATAGTATTGCATACTTGTGCGTCTAGTTAATGGGTCTGTTCTGTGCATATAGGTGTGTGTGTGTGCGCATCAAAGAACAGACGTGAAACCATTATTACCGGATCCTTTTACACTAAAAATTGAATAGAAAAAGGAGAGAGCTCGCGTGGCTTCATCTGCCATACAGAAAGAGAGACGACAGTGCTCACTCAGTCTTTTTTTATTGTTGTATGTTTCTTGATGCCTACCCTACCTGCCTTACTTGCCTTTAGTAAAGAAAAAAAAAGGAAGAGAACGAATACACTTTTCCTTTCTCCTTCTCTCCTTCTTTTATGGTAGTCTGATCCGATGAACGATAGAAAGATGATGGTGAACGATGACAAGCTAGACAGAGGCATGCAAAGTGTCGACTGTCACTATCGGTCAACAGACGGACAAACTGAAGAGTTATATCATTTATGGATTAAAAATGTCGACAATAATGACAGAATATAAAACACATTAATTACGAACAAGTAACGCTTCATATATAAAACTTACGATTAATGGTATCTAACCAGTCATACTTGAAAATGTGGCAAGGACATTATTGTTAAATAATGTCGAGTAACGCAAGAGATCGAGATTATAAAATGAATTTTCTCTTCTTTTATTCGTATATTTACTTAACAAATATTTTCTTTTGTGTTATGCTCATTTCTTTTCTTTCACTTTGGTTACTCTTATATAAATTGCAATTCGTTTTGTTATTTCTTTTATTTCCAACATACAAACATATATGTACAAAAAAGTCATCATTCAATCAATAGAACTACCATCTTTTATAGAGCAAAAAAACTTTGCCTGACACATTAAGGTTCATTCTTACTGATTCTTTATTCACGCTGTCCTTGTCAATTTTCAGAGTTAAATCAATAGTTGACATAATATTATCATAAAATTTTTATTGGACCAATTCTGTTTTTTCGTACATTATAATTAGTCGATGGTAATGGTTCATGTGCTATTTATTTAAATCATAGATGTATTAAATTTGTTCTGATTTTAAATGATCTTTTGCATTTCTTATCACTAGTTAGAACTCACTCGTTCATAAAATTAACCAATAAGACATACTCGATCATGTTTTAAGTTTAGAGTATTTCTTTTAAGATTTAAGAGAAATTCATATTTATTTTCCCGACTAGAACAAAAATCTAACATACAAATGTTAGTTTCTTTTTATTGACGATAAGCTTGACTATAGATAAATGTACAAATCAATAGTGAAGAAATTTTCATTTATGAAAATATGCACAAGAAAGTCTTGGATTAAGATGTAGTTGTTGATTACGATTGTTCAAATAAGCTTGAATAATATCTCAAATAGATTGTCAAACATTATCATTTAAAGCCTAGGATAGAATATGAATTTATTATATTAACAAATATTTTTATTAACTACCTACTTACATACCTAAGTACATCCTCAAAAGATGATTAGGCAACCGTATGTTAAATTTCATGATTAAAATTATGCTTTTTGATACACTTTAAATTAATTCATTTCACTTACTAATAATCGATACGAAACCTAATCAAGTACTTAAGCACAATTGGCAAATGAATAAGAAATAAAAAGAAAAAAAGAAATCATAATATTTTATCGGACCAATGTCAATGGCAATAAAAGCAATATAGTTGTCTAATACAAAAGCTTCGATGACACAACGAATAAGCATATAACAACATCATCAGAATATGTGTTGAATAACTTGAAAATAATTTGCATTAGAATGCGAAAAGAATTATGTATATTTCGAGAAAAAAAGATTTAATCTAAAACTGAAAACAAAAAAAGAACAGAAACGAATTTCTTATTCACTTTTTAATCTCGTTGAAATTAGAACATCTTGTTCTTGTAATAATCGTTTGTTAAGTTTTTGATCTAAACGTTCAAATTTTCTATAATATTCATCATTGTTATCGATATTTTTCTTTAGATCATTTTTATATTCTTTACATAATTTTTTCATTTCATCACGAATTATTATTATATCAGATATTTGTTTTTCTAATTCAATAATACGTTCATTTTGTTGTTGATTTTCTTCACGTAAACGTTCATTATCTTGTTTAATACTATTTAAAACAGATATGTCAACATTTAGACCAGTTTGTTGACAAAATGTTAATTCTTCAAGATCACGTGTAAGTAAATATTCACTATTTGAACGGGCAGCTAAAAGAAGTACAGGTTCTTGATGACCATTTAGTTTTGTTAATTGATTTACAGTTATTTCACGTATATCACAATGTGGTAAAAGACATATATCAATATCATCAAGTCGAGTTTTCGATAGAAGCATACGATGTAAAGAAAAAAATTCACGTATTAAATCATCAACAGGTAATGTCTGATAAAAACAAGAAATTTATCGAAATAAAAAATTATTAATAAATGAAATATACTTTTGAACCATCAACAAGTATTCGAGCAGTTAATGGTTGTTCTGTATAGACAAGACGTATTGGTTTAAAACCTTTTTGTAGACAAGCAGTTTCATTTCGATCAAGTGGTCGAAGCCAAGTTGATCTTCAAGAAGAGAATATATTCTAGCTGAATCAGAGAAAATAAGAAATCGCTTACTTACGAGTTCGATGCCATGATAAACAATATCAAAGTAAAAAATAACGATACAACTAAGAATTAATTAATTCATTAATTGACATTTGATGTACTCATTCAAGTAACTAATAGAAATTAGTCTACGACCTCTATCGCAAGTATAATTGTGAAATATTTCTTTTATTGAATTTTTAAGCATTATGAAGTATTTTAGTAAAAACTAACATAAAAATATGAAAGATATCATCAACGAAAGCAGATGGCGTTAAACAATGGTTTTATCTAAAAACAGACAGTGATTGAGAGAAGTTATCCATATAGATTTTTTCGTAGTTGCAACGCCACAACTGACGAAGAGGGGCTGAGCTCCAGGAAAATTTTTAAAGTTGTTGCTAAAGATAGTCTTACAGAAGAGTTAAGAGGGTTTAGTCCTTAATGACCAAAAATCCAGACTCTGGCACTATTTTATCGGATATATTGACAAGTAACGTTCATCGATAGTCAATTCATTTGAATCTAGACTGACAGAATAGTGATATTAACTGTAGATATAGACGTGCATCAGGACTAAAAATTGATTTGTACAGTTGCGATGATAAGAGGAATTCTTTTATTGACAAGAAAGGTTTTTGAATACAATAAACACATTCAATATAATGTATCATGCGGAAGTTATGGGACAAATGTCGAACCATATTTCTCTGCAATGAAAAGTTTACTGAAAGAAAACTTTTTACCGAAATGAGAGAACTTTTTCTCCTCTTTCAAATCGTATATAACTTGTGTTTATAACACACGCACAAAACAAAATGACGCAATAGAAAAGAGAGAGAAACTCTTAACAAGAATCCGCAATTTTTCGACAAAAGGGCCTTACAAAATGTCGATCTTTATATCTCTTCGATAAATAGGTTCTAAAAAGAATTGTTTTTTTTTTCAGTTGATAGAAAATTTTCTTCTCTTTTGCACAGTGTATGATTCATTCATATTTTATACATATATTAATAAGTGAAATGAGACGAGAAACAAAAGAGAAAGACTCATGCAATAAATTTATAATTTTTATATGAATTCGTTCAAAATATCTTCTACACAACAGTCGATTACAGCCAACTGTCATTTTAAAAGATTTATTTAACAAGTTCATAAAAGTTGAATTACGTACTGTTTGACAAGATCTTTGTAATGAGTCCACAAAGATCGCATTAATTGGCGTCTAACGAAATGTTTTTGATGAGTTCATATAAAAATTATAAATTTATTTTGCAAATGTTTTTCTTTTTTTCTTGTCTCATTTCATTTACGGACATGCGACGTATATAAATCATACACTATTCGAAAGCGAAGAACATTATTGTATCAACTGATAAAAAAATATTCATTTCAAAACGTGTCTGTCGAAGAGTTATGAAAAACCAGATTTTGCGCCGTTTTTCTGAATTCTTACAAAAAATACAGGTTCTTTTTAAGGGTGTTTCTCCTTTTGGCTACGTCATTTCGTTTATGAGTGTATTATAAAAATAAGTAATATACGATTCGAAAGAAGAGAAAAAGCTCTATCATGTGGTTAAAAAGTTTTCTTTCAGCACTATTTTTATCACAGAGAGATAGAGTCCTACTTTGGAGTAAAGTTGTTGTTTTTTACACAAAATTTCATGAAAATTTTTGATTGTATGACTGTTGTCATTGTGATAAATTTCATTTTTTTAATCCAATTGTTAAAATAGTATTTTCAATTGGCAATGATAACCAAATACTAGAAGTTACATTTTTTTATCGTACATTTGTATGTATCAAATTAGTACAATTAATATGAATGATATGCAATGATAGATCGTATTGCATCTATTTCAAGATTTAATATTTCCAGCTTGGAAATTTTAAATTGCAAACATAAATTGAAACAAACACGTACAGTATGAGATAGGTAATTCGTTTATTAGAATAAAAACGTATGATTGACTATATAAGTTTTTTGCATGGATGTTCACTTTGATGAGTTTTTTTAGCATGAGAAAATTTTATTGAATACAGTATCATTAAAGGATCCATTTTATTGCGTAGAAAATTTCTTTAGTAATTTATATGCTTGTTTATATGTGATCAGTAACTATTTTGTTAATATACACAAAAAAAACTGCGTTAATATAAGTCTTCTTATATTTCTATCGATATAGTTATTCAATGAAGAAAAACTTGCTACGTGATAAAACCACAAATATTTGCATTGGATGTCGTAAAATATTTTGTATTCGAACGTTCTATTATTCATCTTTCAAATAAAATGTATTTATATTTAATTATTGAATTATAATGATATCACAGATAACAACAAGAGTTTTTTTTGGTAAATCGCTAATGTTAAGACTAGTTGTACTGGAAAATAAAAGAGTATAACATGATTTAGAGAATATGATTTTTGTTTATCATATTTTTATAGTCAAAATTTACATATTAAGTTTTCATCTATTAATCAATATTCGTCACTTGTAAGAGATTCCAGGTCGAACAAGCATGTTCGGAAACGTCCGTAAATAGTCGTATATTGACATATTACATGACTTAGTATTATGATTATATTTCTGTGTATATGATAATGAGAGATACGATCGTTTACACAGTTTTTATAAAGCTTCTGTTGTTTTTCTCATTATACCACCGTAAATGATCGTATATCTTGGTATACGATACGGAAAAATACAGCCGTAACACCGAGTCATGTAATACAGCAAAATATGGATGTCGTATTATTTTTCTTTGTATACTACTCGTTGGTTAATTTCAATCATAGTGACTACGTAGATGTGATCTTTGTAATTTCCTGTGCTTTCGTTTGAATGATAGATATCATATGGTAACACCACTACAGATAGATGACACGTAAATTTCCGTTTTTAAACCTTATCCATTCTGTCTACAGACAATGCTTGGTCTGTTATATAATCAAAAAAAACTTGTTTTACATGTTTTATTCAATTAAGTGCAGTTATTACAGATTATTTATTTTTGTTTGAAATCTAACAAATTACTCAGAGACTTAGTTTAATCAATAAATTGATTTATTGTTTTCATTAATATTTTATTCAAAAAGATTCATATATTATTCAGAGAACAAGACTATCATCGTGTCCTATTTCATGCAAATGATATTTTAAAATTAGTTTTTATTGCGTTGTTCAAAAGTAATATTAATTGAGATTGCTACCATTCATTAATGTAAATAGTAAGTCAAAGTATCATTAGACAGACGATGATCCTCTTCTAAGTAGGATGATCATTTATAGGATGAAAATAGTTTGTGTAATGTAAGAAGTTCGAAAGCTCATAATTGATAAACATCTTACGTAAAGTATTATCTACTAGAGAAAAAAACTTGTATACACAATAAAATTAATAAAGATGACATATTTATTATATGAATTCTTGTGAAATCAAATTTAAAAACAGAATTTTCTGATGATAGTTTTTTGTCCATAAGTCTACTAGGTAGAACATGTTGTTGTATAAGGTATATTTTCAAAAGTAAATAATCAATGCTTCGTTTTGAAGAGACATTGATTACGAAATATAAAATCTATTATTGATTTATGTCATGATTAACATGAAGACTACTTATAAAAGATTTGCTTTGAGAAACTTTCATTTGAATACTATCCGACTTACTGATTATTTATTCATAGTTCCTGAAAACTCATACATTAATTCATTACTCTCTGTTGATAGAACGATTGCAGAAAATAAGGAAAGCATGAGATTTAGAAATGACAAGAACATTTTTCTATAGTGAATTTCATGGGCTATTAATCGGTAAAAAGAATCTATTTTTTTTTCATCGCTTCGTCTTTCCAAATATCAAGTCTACAAAATCAATAATTTTGAAAGAATGAAAAATTTTGAGTAATTTTTGAAACGAACTATTCTTTATTTACACTCAATAGAAATCTTTCTGAATTTCTGTGTGATATAAATCGATAAAGAAGCTCACTAGTGAGTTAGATATGTTTCAAAAGCTTTACAATAATTTGGCGAATTACACAGACTAAGACATACAAGTGATCATGGAGCCATTATTGGGCATCTGCAGGACAATCAAGAACGAAGTTGATATATGTATTATAAATATCAACTTATGAACAATTGAAATAGAATTTATTATGAATTAAATGTTTTTAGAGAATATAACAAAATAAACTTTTTTTTATCACTGCAGTAACATGGAATTGTTGTTGTTTTTGCCGACTCAATAATGTGATCAGAAAAAAAAGGAATCAAGGCTTAGTATGTTGTTCAATTCAATTTGTCAACCGCTCAGTCATTGAACCAATCAAACAGCCCTACATCAAGATATGGAAACTCGATCGATCAGACCACATCGTTAGCATATTTAACAAGCAAATACTCCATTAATAAAGTTATTTCATCGGTGGCTCTTCTGAAACCACTGTACCATAAAGGATTAATAAGTTTCCATTATTTTCATTTTTCAAAAATGATTCCATGAATGAGACTTCGTTCGATTATAACATAGACCTGTTTTCGTAGAACTTCATATAGTAAATTGAACTATCTTCAAATTTAATTTCGCTCACCACAGTTTGAAACATCATTTTTATTACACAAATAATAGATCATTCGTTTGATAAATATAATCATGAGAAAACATTGTACAATAGTTGTAATATGAAAATGTTTTATTATTTTCATTTGTTGTTATTAATAATGTATCTAATAATTACTGATTGAAAGAACAAAACTTCTTTCAATAGGATGAACTCGATTGATATTTCTTTTTGCACGCCATTGTTTTAAATAAACATCGAATAGAACAAATTTCAATTGTTGACGAAACCGAGCAGAAGATATAAGAAAAATGTAGAAGCTATTCTAAAATAAAAAGAAATATTAATTAAATAAATTATGCAAAAATAATGATATACGCTTTTGACTCACTGCATAGTTTACAAGAAACAGAATCGTAAAGACACTATTAACTAATCGAAATTGTTCTTCAACAATGGGATTGTTGTTGCGCCACGATATTGTAAATCGAATAATATAAACAATAAGAAATGGAATTATGGTGATACAAACGCCAAGAATTTTCATTAAAACCATTGCCGTTAATTGTTGCTCTAAACGTAGCCGTATAATATGTACTTTTCTCTTGGTCATAGTACGAACATTACGAAAAGCAAGTAGGCCATATACACTCATTATGGAGATAGGCAAAAAAACATCAATGATAGGAAAACCAACATATACTACATATTTTGAGAATAGAGCATGGTTATCATTGGGACGACATGTTGTTGTATTTGTTCCAGATAATTTTTGTACATTATAAAAAACAAGAAATGGAATACCATGTAAAATGGAAATAAATATAGAAATGATAATTAAACGTTTCATACATTTGAGATTAATACCTTGGCGTCGTTCATGCATTGAACTTGATATACATTGATCAATAGCAGCAAAACATATAATCATATGTGAAATTAAACCAAAAATTTGTCCAAAAGCTATTGGTATTTTGCATCGTAGTATTTTATTCATATCATCATTATCTTTGAAGATACTCACTAAAATACTTGATAATATATTAAATATTAAGATGCCACTATCGGATATTGATAATATCAACAAACAAGAAGCGCATGAGTTTTTACGAAATGTTTTCAAACTAATGAAAATAACAATGTTGAGAATATTACCAATCATACCAAAAATAAAAATCAATAATGCAGCAGAGATTTTCAAGTAACAAATGACTAAATTCAATGAAGTAATGAAGTCCATTGTTGATGACATTTTTCTATATTTAATATGAAACAATTTTATAGGTGTTTCGTTAATAAAGTCTCCCACCCCCGTCCTTTAAAATCGATCTTGACCCAGATACATTCGAATCGCATGTAATTTTCAGGATATGTTGAGACTATGCTAAGATTTTCAGTCCTTTATCATGTCGTTCGAGGGAGACATTCAATAGACAAGGATCATAAATAACTCATTTGGTAATCCAAAATTCTCTGTGGACTTTCATTTTATAGGCTAAATTTTTTGTTTGAAAGAGCATGACAGACCCTTTTCTTTCTTGCCTCATTTTTTAAAGTGGAGAACAGGTATGGAAAATTCAATGTCTCGAAAAACTCAAAAAAATAGAGTTCTAGTTGTAAAAGTACTCTTTTATATAATACTAATAAACCTTAATTAAGACAAAGAACCTATCATGCTCTGTATGTTGGCATGCTCCTTTAAACAAAAAAGAGTAATTGACTACAAAGAAACTTCTTCGAGAATTCTAGGATGTGTCGTCAGAAAGTGAAAACAATTTCCCATTTTTTCTAAAAAAAGATAGAATATTTATCAACTAGAAGAAGACAAAAATCATCATGATTTTTGGCAAGAAATGAAGTGTTAAATAAAAAAATAATGTCATTTATGAAAAATTTGACTATGAGCTATCTTTTCATGCATTTATCTCAATAAATTGACTTTTTTTTTTAGAGGAAAGCTCAAGGTCTTAAAAAACAATAAGAAAATATTTATAAACACATGTAAAAAAAAATCTTCATTTTTTAATCTCTGTATTATGTAAACGATTATTAATATGGTAAGACACTTATTATGGGAATAAGATTTAATTTTATAATGCGAAATAGTACAAACTTTCATAGACAAAAAAAAAGTGATGATAGTCTAGGGTAATAAACGATCAAAAAAATTACAATATTTTTTTTTCATAGCAGATTTGTATGAATTTGAAGTTGTTTTGCATATTAAGATCAAAACAATATTTTGTATAAAAAAATTCTATTATCCATTGAAACTCGTATTCAATAAACTTTTGACTTAGAGCAAACTGAAGCAGTAGGCTATGAAACCAAATCTTCGTACATTGTTTTATCAATATAATATATTATTTCTTGAGGATTCTGCACTATCGGGCATTCGTCTGCTGTAAAACTGAATGCTAATAAAAATCAATTACGCTACAATTAAGTACAGCACATTTTAACTTTAGTTCATCCTTGGTACAACACAAAAAACATTTTACTCTGAAGAAATGAATTCATTATTCTTCAAAATACGAAGACAGTAAATAGTCTATCGAAGGACACGAAATAATCTACTATGATGCTGCATTGTTTGCTTAAAAATAGAATTATTGACGTCTATGTGAAGAATGTCGATGCTCTCGAAATTTAAGTTTTAACTTGATCATCATTTTGGACATAGTTAAATCAATGAAAACAGTCAATGTGAACAAATATTCGTGTTTAACAACTTTATGGCATTTAGCCAAATTAAATTTTTGATACGTTGAGTTGGAAGCAAATGATATTATACTATTTTAAAGGAAGTAATGATATTAAGAAAAGAATCTTATCTTTTCCACTATATGCTACAATTATTTTTGTTGATCCGCGATGTCACGTCGATACTTTAATTAATGCGGTAGAATGCACAGCATTCATGAAGTCTTTCGCAAATTCTTTTTTTAAAGATGCAAAGCAACTTATAGCAATTAGTCGAGACCTCTTCTTTCTCGAATTCCGCATCCAAAGTCCATACTTTCTACTGCAAGGATCTGATGAACAGCACATCGCCTGATACTCTTTGAAATGTCATTAGAAACGTTGAGTTTTCCATATGATACAAAGTTTATCCGATTTCCGGTATGATGTCTCATTCATCCAAATTAAAATCCGGCTATTATAACTAATCTATGGATTTCTATTTAAATTATGTCAATATTATGAAACGAAGTCAGTTTATGATCTTAGCAATGATTAATTATTGCTAGCATTAGCAATAATTCGTCTATGGACAGATTTTGACATCTTTTTTCTTTGGCTAATTAGTAGAACTCTTTGAAGACTACTATTATCCATTTCAAAATAGAACAAGGTTGAATATTTTACGAATAACTATTGATTGGAGCAAGATAGAGATCTGCGGTTTCATTGTTTGTAAGAAGAGATGAAACTGTATTGACTCATGTATATCAGATTTTTTTGACAGTTTTGCTCCGGGTCTCCTGTCAAGTTATTAACAAAACTGAGGCTTTTAAATAGGTTTATAAGGTGGACTTTTTCGTCAAGAGAGTCAGGAAAAAAAACAATTTTTTGTGAAAAATCTGCCGATAACACATAGTAAAATGTTTGTTATTCATGCTTGGATAGACCTGACAACATCGGACTTCCACAATCTATAAGTCTTTACTTAATTATTCTAGTGCATTCCTGAAAATTGAAATCTTAAATTTTTTTTCTTTACACAATGTTTTATTTTTAATAAATTTGATGACACACTCTGACAAAACTTGTCCGAAAAATCTAGTATATACAATTCGATGGAGTTTTATCTTGTCTTTTATACAGTGAAAACTGCAGATCTCTATCTTGTTCCTATTAGAAGTTATTCAAAGCATACTTACCCTTCTTTTATTTTGAAATGGATAATAGAAATGCCGCTTGTTATTATCAAAGTTTTTTTTTTTTTTCAGCAGTGTCACATATCCAAGATTTTGGAGATGCCGCATCTCGCGCGAGAGATGCGAGTGTGGGTGTGGGGGATGCGTCTCTCTAAAGGAGATCTTACATCTCCAGTGGTGAATGACCTCATCTCCCGAGTGTGGGTGCCGCGTCTCCCGCTGGAGATGTGGTGGCATCTCCAAAATCTTGGATATGCGACACTACTCAAGTATTTCAATCTAGACAAGAGAGAATTCACATAAATCAAACTTTTGAGAATCACCAACCGTTTGATTCTCCGAGTAACTCACTTACTTCAATTCTTACTCATCTAGCTATCACGGGCATCTATATCAAGAAGTGCTTGTTGATTTGATCTTTTATCAAGTTTGAAAAATTTAATCTCTTGCTTTTAGACTTATGGTTCCTCAATATCGTCTCTTGAGATTGCAAATCACCTAGACATTATGTAAGATGTCGTTGAAATACTTTTGCAAATAATATTGAGCCAAATAGATTTGTCATGCATGGTGCGGATATAGATGTATAGGTTTTTCGATCTTCTCTTCACTCACACCCACACCTTGATTTAGTTTTCAGCTACTAAAAAGTGAAAATACAATAACATACGCCAAAAATATTAATAGAAAAATCTTAATAAAACAATAATAAAATATAAAATCATAGCGAAATATATAAAGCAATCATGGAACTGTATTGAATTGGGTCGAATGAAATAAAATCATGAGATGACTATGTATCCTAGAAGATTGCATTAAAAAGAATCCAAAGAATTATCTTCATCAGACCTATACGATGTTGGATTATCATTGATGCTTTCAGATTCTTTGTACAAATAATCATGATCATGTAAGATGATGCTTCTCATACTTATAGATGGAATTGACAGCTAAAAGTATCATTGAAATAGAAGAAAGTGTTTTTTGAACCTACAAATTCAATATGTTTTGTTAACAAAATAAAAGTAATTAATGAACGATTTGAACTTTTCTTTTACTGGTTTCGTTTGAGATTTGCAATCAGTTAATAAATGTCACTATGCGAAAATCAGAGTAATAATCTAGTCATGAGAAATAAATGCAACAACTCATTTAATAATCCTTTGACGAAATCAAATATTTATTTTCGCCCATAGACCAAAAATACATTAAGATGATTATAGAATTTATCGTAGACCCAGTAATCTCTGGATAATTTCATTTGAAACAACTTAGTTACGAATACATCGAAATTTGCTATGTATTCGTCGAAAACAACATTTTACTGTATAATGTAATTAGAGCAGAATTTACAACATTGAATAACGTGGCTATATTTCTATCAAATTTATGACATTTCATCCACTTACTTATGGAGCTTACAATGGAACTGTTTGTCATGTCAGTTGATTTAATTAACTATGTTCGGGTCAAATTATCAACCTGAACGAGAAACTACCAAATTAAAAGTATGAGCTGCTAATGGCTTACCTAGAGCAAGTTATTTAAATTTCAAGGTATATGAAATTTAGGTATAAAAATGAATCAGGAAAGGTTTTCTCCACTATTGTAAGGACAAAACATAGTGTTGTTCGGGCCGACTAGGGGGTTTGGAGGTGCTCTCTTTCAAATGACCCGAACAACAGCATGTTTTGTCCTTATAATAGTAGAGTAATTTTTGTCTGTACCTCATAGAAAACATTCTTTCTATGAGGTACAGAAAAAAATTACTCTACTATTATAAGAACAAAACATACTCTTTTTCGGGCCATTTGAAAGANGAAAACCTTCACTCTACTATTATAAGGATAAAACATGGTGCTGTTCGGGCCATATGAAAGAGGGTTCCTACCAACCCCATAATCGGCCCGAACAACACTATGTTTTGTCCTTACAATAGTGGAGAAAACCTTTTCTGATTCATTTTTATACCTAAATTTCATATACCTTGAAATTTAAATAACTTGCTCTAGGCAAGCCATTAGCAGCTCATACTTTTAATTTGGTAGTTTCTCGTTGAGGGTGATAATTTGACCCGAATATAGTTAATTAAATCAACTGACATGACAAACAGTTCCATTGTTAGCTGCTTAGCAGCAGCAGAATGAATGAAACTAACAATATCTATGATGTCGTTAGTATACAGTATAAGAAGAATGAAGAAAAGGAAAAATGGCTACCATGAAAATATTATATAACTATATTCTAGGCTACGCCTTATTTTTGCACGGAATTATTTTTTGATGGACCCAGTTATCAGATGACCTGAATACGTGCATCCATCCGTTGGATTGTTTTAGAAATAAGGAAGTGATTCATTCGTGTCATCTTGTAGATCGGATCATTACTGCTCACTACCAGTAGACGGATATTTTTTATTTGTTATCGAGATTCAACCAATAATAATGAATGAAAAGTCACATCGGCCGGATTTTTTCATCGAATGTTTTTTCAATTTAACATATGATTGTAAGGCTTAAAGCACACTGCGGAGATTAAAAGTGAGTTAAGAAATGTTATTGGTGTTACTGCATGAAAACATCAATAATATTTCATAATTCATTTTAATTCTTATAGTGTATTTGATGCCTTATTCACTTATTTATAGATAATGATTTTGATCACTTAGAGCAATAAAAAGTCACGCTAACATCCTCAAACATGGAAGAGTCAACACAACATATTGGTATTAATGGTATGACTTGCCAAAGTTGTGTAAGAAATATTGAAAATACAATAACTAAATTAAATGGAATTCGATCAATTAAAGTATTTATAAAAAGAAATTTTATTTATTAGTAAATATTAAAATTTCATTTTTTAGGTTTCACTTGAAGATAAATTAGGAATTGTTATTTTTGATTCAAATACTATTAGTATAAATAATATTGTTGAACGTATTAATCAAATGGGTTTTAATGCTGAGCTTAATCAAACAATACAAAATGACAATCTTGATGTTGAGCTTGGAGGTATATCAGATGAAAATATTCCTATTTCTATTGAACGTATATCATTAATAAATGGAGTTTTAAATGTTAAGTTTCCTTTCAAAAATGATAGTACTCATGCACAGATATCTTATAACAAAAATCAAATAGATACTTATACACTATATCAAAAGATACAGTCCATTGGCTATAAAGTAAATCCAAAATTAGAGAACATTTCTCAAGCTTATTTACGTATACAAGGAATGCATTGTAATTCATGTGTTGTGAATATAACAGAGACAGTTGAAGATCTACCAGGTATACATGATATTAAAGTATCACTTGATGATCAATCAGCAACTGTTTTATATGATTCCAATATAATTAAGTTATCAATTATTATCAAAGAAATTGAAAGCTTAAGTTTTCAGGTTGCTGTTTCAACGACAAATGATAGAAACAAGCCACAAGGTATTTATATTGGAATATAAGAAAAATATATTTCGATTTCTTTCTTATTTAGATAATGTCGATAGCTCGAATACATCATTATTATCAGGTCAGATATTGAAAGGTTTTAAACTAAAACACTAAACGGCTGATGCATCTATGAGCATTAGCTAGAGTTAATGTCAATTATATTTGTCATGAGAACCTAAAACTAATTCTAGATTAAATTTTAAGGGCAAAAAAAAATGAAGAACGAATGAAATCAGACATTTAGTTATACAGTAAAAATAGAATTAAGAAAGTACTCAGTGATGATTGTATGATAGCTGATAGTATTGTGTCAGGTTGCCCTAATATTGCGAATATATCAGAGTTATAACCGGTCAGACCGGACCGAACCGGTTTAAATGATTGGACCAGCCGGTTTTCACCGATTTAAAGAAAGTTTTTAATCAAAGAAAATACCCCTGGTCACTTTCAGCTTTTAGTCAAAAAATGACTTTCAGAATTTTCTAGACATACAATTTTTTCTGAGTAAAATATATCGAGAACAAGTTTCAGTTATTTCATCAAAATAATCGTATTGTTTCAAAAATCATCGGTTTTTATTTTTTACTGTTTGTTTAACTTTTTTATTTTTTTAATTAAAGTTTATTTCATTTCATAAAAAGCACAATTAAAACTGTGCTACTTGGAATAAAGCTCTCAACTTATCTCTTTGATGGTTTGTTAGAGGCTAAATTTAAGGTTGAATCGTCGTTTAAGGAGAAATATAGGTTTTTTCTGTAAAATTCAAGTGAAAAAAATCTCAAGATTTGCAGATTAGCAATCAAGTGTTTGGTACATAAGTCTTTTTTCTCACAAAAGAAACATTGCATATTCGTCTTTAGGAAAATTGACAGATATAAACGACTATAACATCATATTTTCTCTTGAAGATCAATAAAAGCCTGAGCAAAAAATACGAAAATGAGTGTTTTTTGAAACCTCTTCTTATAACCGCTACTAAATGAGCAAACAAACAGGCCCATTTTTGTGGGCTTTTACCGGTCTGAAAAGTTTTTTAGACCGGCCGAACCGGATCGGTGTAAAAATTTTCAACTGGTTACAACTCTGGAATATATGTGCCGGCAAAATATTTAATTTTTGCTCTAAAATTAATGTTAAATTAGCGAGTTTCAATTGAAATTTATTCAAAAAAAACAAAAATTTTAATCCACTATTAAATTTTGCCTAAAAGGTATCGTCTAATTCTAGTTTGATTACACAGTGACACATGTTAATAGTTTTTTTTTCATGTGTTGTTGATGACTCTTTGCTACTTGAATAATCTTTTATTTTCTATAAAAAAAAAAAACAAATAATAGTGTGTCACATCTGTCATATTTCAATAGAAATTTTTGTAAAAAAGCTCAAAAAAAGTACATAGTCAGCATGATATACAATAAAGGCAGTGGTACATATTTACTGAAGCAAATGGATTGACTCCATTGATAAACTCATTTCGCCATAGTTTGCGAAGATAATCATTAATATTGGCATAGTGATGACATGAGTAGTTTTTCGAGATTCATCGATATAAAACACTTAGTACAACAGAAAAAAAATTGAGGTCTGATCGAAACTCTTGAAATAAGAGGTTTATCTTTTTTTTCAATAGTTCATTGAATTCAAATATAGCACTAAAAAGTAAATATTAACATGTACTTCATTCACTAAAGTTCATTCGAGTTTTTTTTTTTTATCTCAGATTAATTATCTATCAACGAATTCTCTCTACTTAACTATACATAGTGTACATTATTATTCAAATTCAATTGTTAAAATTAAAGAATAGTTGATAAAAGAAATTCTTTTTTTTTTCAGGTGATAATAATCGTCAAACAAGTTCAGAACTAACAGTTCGACGAAGGAATGTAAATAATGATATAGAAACTTGTTTTATAAACGTGACCGGTATGACATGTGCTAGTTGTGTTGATTTAATCCACCGAAATCTTTCTAAAGTAGAAGGTAATATAAAACATTAATGTTTTGAATTATACATAATTTTCTAATAGGAATTCATTCCGTACTTGTTGCACTTTTATCAAATAAAGCTGAAGTAAAATATAATCCTGAATCTATCATTCCATCACAAATTGCTCATTTAATTAATGAGCTTGGATTTCATGCTGAAATACTCGATAAAATGGAGCATGGTGTTGATATTATTGATCTAAATGTATGTGAAAAAAAAATTAAAAAATAATTTTTTTTTAATTTAATATTTTATTTTTTAGATTGCAAATATGACATGTGCATCGTGTGTACGAAAAATTGAAACTTCCATAGGAAAATTACTTGGAGTGCACAGTGCCGAAGTAGCATTACTCACACATCGTGGTAGATTTAAATACGATCCTTCACAAATTGGTCCAAGAGATATTATTGATAGACTTAATGTAAGAATAATAATGTCGATTTAATCGCTGAAGAAAAAAAAAAAACTTCTGTTTTAGGCGATTGGTTTTTCTTCTTCATTAATTAGTGAAGATTCAAAAGCATTCAGTTTAGCAAAAATGCATCGTCGAGAAACTCGAAAGTAATTCATTGTTGAAATAATTATTATTCATTCTGAAGATTTTTCTTTTTTTTTCTCAAGATGGCGTAATTCATTTTTACTTTCTGCACTTTTTGCCATTCCAGCAATGATAATAATGATGGCCTTTATGTTTAAATGGAAAAATCATGAAGAATCCCCACAAGTAATACGTGGTCTATCTCTAGAAAATCTTATTATGTTTCTTTTCTCGACACCAGTTCAAGTAAATATTTTCCTTTGACTTATTTAATTTATTTTTCTTTGATTAATAGTGGATTAGTGGTCGTTATTTTTATATCCAAGCATTCAAAGCATTAAAACATGGTTCAGCTAATATGGATGTTTTAATTGTAATGGCAACAACAACAGCATATTTGTATTCATGCATTGTTGTTTTATTTAATATTATGCAAAATCTTCCAAGTCCAATTACTTTTTTTGATGTACCACCAATGCTTATGATGTTTGTTGCACTTGGTAGATGGCTTGAACATATAGCTAAGGTTTGTTGGAAAGAAAACAAGTCTATTACAATCATAATATGTGTTATATAGGATAGCTTATAAATAACTAGATGATTAAGAATATTTAGTATCTTCAGTCTGCTTTAATTAATTGAGCTAATTTTTTTCTCAGTGAAAGAAAATTTTCGAAAGTTTTTATTCATAAGGATACTGTGAAATAGATCCTATGTGTAGAACTAGCACTATCGGTCAAACGTATTTTACTCGGCAATCTTACCCATTCTTAGGGATAGAAATGCCTTTTCTACTCAAACGAATGAAGCTGGACTTGTCTCACTAGCCTACATTTCCAAAGTAGTATATACGGTAAAAATTTCACATATCTACTCCTAAGAATGCTTGAGATCGCCTGGTGAAATAATTTTGTTTATATTGAATATTTTCTAATTAACTCGAAATCGATTTCTTTGCATGGCGTTTCTTTGAAATGACGGAGTCTCATCGATGCTCTTGAAATTCCTATTATGTTCACATATTACTCTCTTCAAATACAAAAATCTTATTTAGGAATGTTCGAAACTCTTGCAAAATCTATAGTCCTTGGAAACTATTATTAACTAATTTTTTCTTTTTCATAACAAGTTCTTACTATAAAAAAAGTAATATCTTTCATTTAATTCATGTTAAATTTATAATTTCGATTTAGGGAAAAACATCAGATGCTTTAACAAAATTATTATCATTACAACCTCCACAAGGAACATTAGTTCGTTTAGATGAAACAACTGGTACAATTATTGAAGAAAAAACTATTCTTGCAAAACTTATACAACGTAATGATATATTAAAAGTCGTACCAGGTGGAACAATTCCCACCGATGGTCGAGTTATTGAAGGTACATCAACATGTGATGAATCATTATTAACCGGTGAAGCAATGCCAGTTGAAAAAACTGTTGGTTCCCAAGTTGTAGGTGGAACAAAAAATATAAATGGAATGTTATTAATTTGTGCAACACATGTTGGTCATGAAACAGCACTTAAACAAATAATTAAATTAGTTGAAGAAGCACAAACTTCAAAAGCACCTATACAAGCATTAGCTGATAAAATTGCAGGTTACTTCGTACCTGTTATTGTTGGTTTTTCTGGTATTACATTAATCTGTTGGATTATTATTGGTATTACTCATTTTGATAAAATAGAAAAATATTCAATGGTTAGAATTTTATTTCTATTTTTTCTCTTTAATATAATGTATCGAATTTTATTTTAGTATCATCATTCTATGTTCAGACATCATGTAGGAAAAGTACCAAGTAATACGGAAGTTGTGCTTGAATTAGCTTTTCGTTTTGCTATTACAGTCCTTTCGATTGCTTGTCCTTGTGCTCTTGGACTTGCAACACCAACAGCTGTTATGGTTGGTACTGGTAAGTAAATTTTTGAGTGAAGAATAATTTTTCAATAATTAAGACAACTGATATTTGCTTAAGAATATATCGTACGTTAAGTATAAGGTCACAAGTCTGATTATATCTATGTATTGATAATAAAGAACTGAATTTATATAAATAGAGCAACGTTTTGATTAGTTCATTTTTATTCAAGTGATAATAATCATAAATAACAAGTTACGAATCATTTGTTTTGAAAGAATATTTATTTTCTTTGTTTCTTTGTTATCATAGGTGTTGGTGCTTCTCAAGGAATTCTTATTAAAGGTGGCGAACCACTAGAAGCTGCCCATAAAATTCGTACAATTGTTTTTGATAAAACAGGTACCGTAACTCAAGGCAAACCAACTGTTGTCGATACACGTTTATTTCTTCCGAATGATTCCTATTGGACATTACCACGAATGTTAGCAATAGCTGGTACAGCTGAAAATTGCTCTGAACATCCGTTAGGTAAGGCTATACGAATATATTGCAAAGATTATTTTGGCTGTGAACAATTTGGTCGTTGTGAAGATTTTAATTCTATTTGGGGTTATGGTTTAAGTGCGAAAGTAAATGGAATTGAATTTTTAATCAATAAATATATTGGCTCAAATCATAATGTATCTTTAAATGATAAAACTTATGCAGTTTTAATTGGAAATCGAGAATGGATGGAAAGAAATAATATGCATGTGACGAACGAAGTTGATTCAGCTATGTCAAAACATGAATATGATGGACATACTACTGTATTGATTGCTATTGATAGTAAAGAAAAATAATGACTCGTTAAAATTTTGTTTTATTTTTAAAATCTATATTTTAGAGACAATTATTGGTATGATTGCAATAGCTGATCGTATAAAACCTACTGCACCATTAACAATCTTTGCTCTTCAATCAATGGGTATAAATGTTTTACTTGTTACTGGTGATAATGTTAAAACTGCTCGTGCTATAGCTGCACAGATTGGTATAAAAAATGTGTATGCTGAAGTTTTACCTACTCAAAAAGAACGTTTTATTGCTATTTTAAAAGAAAATAGTGCTAAAGGTGATAAAGTAGCAATGGTTGGCGATGGCGTAAATGATTCACCAGCATTAGCTCGTGCTGATGTTGGAATTGCTGTTGGAACAGGAGCTGATGTAGCTGTTGAAGCAGCACATATTGTTTTAATTCGTGATGCACTTGAAGATGTTCTTGCTGCAATACTTTTATCAAAAAAAACTGTTCGAAGGATAAGATTTAATTTTTTATTTGCTGTTATTTATAATCTCATCGGTGTACCAATTGCTGCTGGAGTTTTTCTTCCCATTGGTATCTCATTAATGCCATGGATGGCATCAGCTGCCATGGCTTTATCATCAGTTAGTGTTGTTATGTCATCATTACTTTTAAGAAATTTTCATAAACCAAATCTACAGAAGTATGCCACTCAGGAATTTATTTTTTGGTCAATGAATAAAGAAAAAAATATTAACGTTCACCGTGGAATTAATGATGTTGAACGAACACCTAATGATTCATTCATTTCAAGTCTACGTGGAAGTCGTTTAGTACAGATGTTTTCCGGTGCTGTATCAGCTGTCAGACAACAAACATCACATCCATTGTATGATAAACAGAAAGCCGCATTATTACTTAATACAAATGCTCATGATGAAGAAACGGAATTACAAGTGCTAGCATGAAAATAATTGCCAGAAAAACCCAACAAGTAGTGTCGTTGTAATCTACCTGTGATTCACTCTATTTTTTTTTGTCTTAATATTCCTCTTTTTTTGCCTGTGCAAATTCACCGATCGTCTAATGTATGTTTTTTATTAATTTATGTTTTGTATCACGAGATCAAATTCATATTCATTAAAATATTGTTGTGTTCTTTTTATATGCATACATAATTGTCGTAAAGAAAATAAAATTTATATGACAAACAAAACCAGCAATGGATACTTGCTTGCGAAATTGATTTTTGTTCATTCATTTTGCATGCATGGATTAAGTAACTATTATCCTACTTATTATAGAAGATCTATATCTTCTAATACATTTGACCGAATGAATTCTTGTGACACGACACTACCGCACCGACAATTTTACGCAAGATTAATTATATTTCTATTTTGTTTATGTTATATTAGTCATTCTCGCAAACTTTAATTAACTGTTTTGGGTGTGTATGTGAGTGTGTGGGTGTGTATGTGTGGATATGAGAAAGGAAGACACCCATGAATCTCACAGACAAGTTTGTTATATATTTTTCTCTGAAGGAAGTGTAACATGTTGTTTATAGTTTGTATGGATATTCGTACTATAATGCAAAATATTTTGATGTATTGATATGATGATGTGACAAAAGGAAAGGATTAAATTGTTTCACCGTTGTATATTTCTATTATTTGTGAAAACACATTTTCAAAGATTTTCAAATGACGCTAACATAACTTGAGATGTCATACGCATATTGTGAGATAATAATTGATGAAACTCATCTTCTCATTTATAATACATGCAAACGATGTTTTTAATAACTTTTAAAATTCATTGTTCGTCTCCTAATCACTTACAATAATTTAAACTCACCTTTCTAAACACAGACAGGTGAAGTTAACACTTATAAGATATTAAAAATCGTTCCTGTTCTTTCTAAAACTACATTAATTACCAGTAATTTTGTGACATCTATATGTATTACGGTTTTTGACGCACTATTTGCTCAAATAATTTTCTAATGGATTTTATTGTCCAATTGATCGATCGTCTGAAATTGGCATATGAAAAATGCGGAAATAAATCATTAAAATTTAGTTTAATTAAAACATTATTCAACTTTCAGATTCATTACTCTGCTTCGTAGTTCATTTTGTCATTTAAAAACTATTAAAATTATCATGCTTCCCGATCAAATCGATATTTTGTCGATTGATTATACCTTCAACTGAAAAATATTCTTCATCAGTACATCAAATTTTACGAGAATCTTCTTTCCTTAAAAGTTTTCGCACTCCATAAGTAAATGATACTTCTCGTTTCTTTTAATCATTACTTAACTTTGGTCGAGTTGTAATACGATAAGGACGTAAATTAAGGTCTTCTCTAATTATCAGATGCACAGTTTCTCTGGAAACATCAAATGACTTAGCTAATTGCCTTGCACTGCGCCGACCGTTATAGACCAATTACTGTTTCATCTTTTGTGTAAGACCTTTTGTTCGCACAATCGTAGACCTACCAGTTGATTTTTTTAGATCAATTTCATCTATTTGTTTATGTATAATTTGCCAGCGTCTAATTGTACGTTGCCTGACCATATTTCGTAGTTGTTTAGCAATTTGTACAGACGACATACTAACATCAACCATGCGCATAACTACTTTTCGGAGATCTTCCGAGTTCATTGTCATTTATTCGTTCAATGCACTCATATAATCGTGATTTGTTATCAAATAACTCGCGTGTGCCTCTATCACTGATATCAGAATCAATGAAGAGTTATAATCGAAACACATCTATTGGACTAAACTCGATCATTAATTATGATCGTCAATATTGCTCTTTAATCAAACAAATGAAAACAAAAGAAATTCGCCATGTATCAAAAAAACGATCTTCTTCGTAGCGTCGAAAACTGGTCGCACAGAATTTTGTCCATTTTGAAAACAAAGGTCGTATATATAAAATAAACCTTTCTTTGCAATTTTGTAGAAATTTCCACGCTGCAGTTTGTGGTAAATTTTATTTTTTTAACAAAACCAATTTAGTGATCAAAATATGAAATGCAAAGTACGACCATACATTGTTGGTCACCTGGTACATATATATATATATATAAATTCAAAAAAAAAGAAAAAGAATTCACTGGAAAATATTGGAAAGTAATAGAATGCATTGTAACAGGTGAAAATCACAGGAAAGAGAGAAGTAAACAACTTGAATGTACTCAAAAGAATGAGAAAGTATTAGATGCAAGTCAAAGATGCAGAACAGTAGAACAAGAAGAAATATTTTTAGATTACTGGTATAATACCGTTACGGCATGATGTTATAATAGTCACAAGTTACGAAGCACGTTTTATTATAAAACATCTTACTACTACTGAATAGTGATTGTACAAATAAAGCTTCAGTTTCTAAATGCCTAACAGAATCTTCTCTAAAGATCGGTATAATACATTAAAGTATAATAATCTGGCAGTTCTAATTTCGATTGATGGTTGCATTGAGTTATACAAAGATAAACTGTTCTTCCGTCTTTTTGTGTATCACATGACTGTAGGCTATCATACACGATGTTGTTCTTGTTTAAATATAACCATTTGGTTTTTAAATATCTTTGTAGACTAAAACTCTTAACAAATATCTCGTCACTTATCCTAAGTGAGCATAAATCCAGAAGTAAAATCCATCGGTTTCTCTCAATTAAAGCCTATGGAAAATAAGCAACATTTGAAACCGAGATTCACACTTGGGAATATTCCATTGTTAGTATATTTAAAAAAAACTTTTAATATCACAGATCGAGTCAATTAGAAAAACTTGAAAAATAGGTTTATTTTACAATAGTAATGAAAAAACTCTTCATCTTTCTTCAATTGTAAATGACTACATGTATTTAAATGCTCTTCATGAAATATGAGCAGATTCTGTTACTGTCTGAAAATTTGACATTTGAGATTTCACCATAAACAAAGGAAGATCATTTAATAACAAATTTATTGATCTGTGGACCATCCTTTAATATGCATTCGATGTATATTTCGTAAACGTGGTGTATTTGGTTGAATATCACATTGATCAAGAAATCGAGCAACTAATGTACTCTGGTTTCTTAAACCAAATAATTCATTTTCAATTTGTGCGCTGCTATTAAAACTGGATGACACATTCTGGTTAAAAAAAACTAGGATTTCTCATTCATTGAAAAGAATAGAAGCATTAACAGACTTTTTTCGGTGATAAATTAGGTGTTTTTGTTACCGTAGATCGAGTAGTTTCATCTCCATTATCACCGCCTAAGGCTTCAAGTTCTTCTTCAAGACGAAGAATTTTTTTGTAAACTTAATTAACAAAAAAACGAAACAATAAGGAAATTATTTATATAAATTAAAATACTAACTATTATTCGATGATGAACTTCGTTCCATTGCATTATCAGATGTTATCAGGGTTGAATCAGCACGAATTTTCCAATTTTTATATGATTCCGGAGTTGCTTGAGCTCCTAATTTAAAAGAAGATTTTGTTTTGTGCATAAAAGTATTTTTCTTTAAAGAAATCAGAAAAATATACCTGATATCCATTCAGTTATTGTACTTGCGACAAATTCTTTAAATTTATCGGTTAAATTCATTCGGGAATCAGGACATGTATCAAAAAATGTTTGATAAACTGCTTGAGCCAAATAAGATGCATAAATCTGTAATAAGAAAAGACAAGAAAAACAATAAACATTAATGATAACCAAAATTCTAAAACTTACATTGAAAAATTTATCCCGAAACCATGGATCAACAGAAAGAAGTAATTCAACATAATTTTTAGAAATGCGCGTAAAATATTTTTCACATTCATCATCATCATTAGGTAATTTCTATATAAAATGGAGTTTTCTATAATATATTCATTAATTTTAAAAATTTCATTTTACTATGAAATATTTCAAATAAAACCACCAAAATGTATCAATTAGTAAATATTGACTTGTATCATTTCGAATTATTTTATTCCAATAATAAGAAAAATTTTCCTACATAAAAATTATTTTATTATTTAAAACATATATAATACCATAACTAACCTTAAATTTTTGTGCTTGAGTTACTTTATCTAAAATATCAATAACTTCAACAGTGGTATCCGATGCCCAATCAGTATAAACGCTTGATTGAAAAGGTTTATAACGTAAATTTTCTATAGTTTTACGCTCTTTTTCATTTTCATCTGTTGCTACGGTTAAAAAAATTTGTTTTCGTCGTTTAAGTATAGCATTTAATTCACTGTTTGGATCGAGTTTATCAATTTCTGTAAAAGAAAAAAAAAAAACACAAAAATAAAATAAAATTTGAAAAAAATTAAATGTTCTTTTCTAACCATCAAGTGATATACTAAATGAACGAGTTACTTGTTTCATAGGTATAAAAGCATCATTTTCTTGTTTAAAAAATAAATTAGTATATTCATTCATAGCTAATTCACATTCTTTAATACGATCTTCAATTGGTTGTAATACAGTTAACGTCGTTTTAAACATACTTGCAAAATCCTATGATGAAATTGACAAAAAAACTATTAACCAATACGAGATAAATCATAAAACTACACACATTATAAAAGTCATCATAACTAGCAGGAAGAACATCCGTTGTATCGACAAGAATAGGATCTGTTTTTGGAAAATTATTCTATATAAAACTAAAATAATTCATTAAAACAAAATAATAAAATATATCTTACAGTTATTTCACTATTAAATAATTCATCAAATAATTCTAGTTTTTTTATTTTCGTTTGTTGATTATCCATTATGATCTGTATGAGAAATAGACGCACTCTATTGTGCTTCAATTTAAAAATTAATAAATAAAAGGCAAAAATTTTTTGTTTTTGAATATAAAAAAAAAAACAGAAAAATAACAAGACAAGAAGAATTCTTTTTTCAAATTAGTCAATAAGGAAAAGGATCTTGTCCAATTTATTTTTCTATGCCGATGTATTCGCCATGCCTGTTGGTGTTCCATGTTGTCGTCCGATTTTAACTGCTGTTATAGTCATATCTTTTGATATATTAGCTTGTTGTTGTTCATGATTATTGTTCACATGTTCAACAAGTTTAACAAAATGACTTCGTGATATAGCATGTTTGTAACGAATTTTTTTACGAAATGGTTCACTATAACTCTATTTAAAATAGAAAAAATAAATAAATATTATGATTCGTTTTTAGTTATATTAAATATATATTTACTCCTTCAGCATCTTCGAGTTTTAAATGAGCTGTTGCTTCTTGTAACGTTAAAAGTATACAATTCCATGGAGAAAATTCTTCGCGACGATTCCATCGAACAAATATTAAACTATAAATGTCGGACTCTTCACTTAATGCCGAATGACTATCCCAAATATTTTTAAACATATATTCCATATCATTGGTCTAATAAAGAAAAGATTCATTAGATTATTTTTTTTATTTTCAAAAATTATTCATAATATACATAAATGAATTGTGACACAACAAAGATAATTTCTCCCTTATTTATATATTATCGGACAAATTTAATAAACCTTCTTAATAAAATAAATTATTCTTACCGTTAAAAAGAATATACAACGAGCTCCATCATTATAAGCACATTCGTCTTTTTCAATCTTTTTAAGTAAAAATCTAAATAATAATAACATGATTGATAAAAATAATTTTACGACAAAGTTCTTTTTTAATGTCATACTTAAATTTAGTTTGATCTGTTCGTTTATTAGCAATATTTTCCAATCGAAGACATTGTCGACATTTACCAATTTTTGCATTAGTACTACTAACAGCAAATTCTGTTGATGGATAATATTTTTGACAACTACCACAATAAAGTGTTTTTTGTTCCATAGCAGCGACTGAATCTTGTGGTACCTATGGAGAGTGTTCAGACAAATAAATGATATAGACAGGATGTCATAAAGTCACTATACAAAAAAACCTAAATTTGAATATCTCCCTTAGATTTCTATCGGATAGACTGATGTTTTTGTATTGGTGATAGAGGACACTTCCAAGTTTCTATCTATGTATACAAAGTTCTTAAATACTCCTACAAAGGTAGATCCTTTAGTTTCAGTACACAATGAAGTCCTTTTTCGACTTTCAGAAAACAGTATGTAGAGTTTCTTCTTATATTTCTTCAATTTTTTTCACTACTGTAGGCCTCCGATTACTTAGGTCTTCAAAAATATTCATTTGACACTTCTAAAAAAAATCAGACACATTGACCTTTCATCAATAGGAGAATAACAAATAGTTTTAAAGAAATGTGCAAATTATTCTAGATTTTTCACCAGTGTCACATGAATGTTTATAAAGGAAGAGAAAAAGATCTAGATAGCTGAAGACCGACAATAATGAAAAAAGAATGAAGAAATATAAAAAGTGTGCATACTGTTTTTTGAAAGTCAAAAAAGAACTTCATTATGTATTGAACCTGGAAGTGCACTCCATCAGTAGCACAAAAGCCTGTTCATCTGAGAGGACACTAAGGAAGATATTCAAATTTTTTTTTTTGTACAGTAACTTTTGGAACACCCTGTATATAGAAATTTCAAATATTACTTTAAGATGTCGAACAACACCCGGATTGAATGTAGGTGTTTTAATATATTGAAGAAATAATGTCGAAATACGTTGACGAAGACCAGATAAATTTTCTTCTTTTGTTCCGCGCATAAGAAGATCAGCTTCACGATCAATTAATTGAATTATTTCTTCTGTAAGACGACATTCATGTTCCTAGAAATCAATTTGTTTTTAATTCAATCATAATGAAAAAATTTTCTAATCGGTTTACTTTCACAGTATGTTTTAAAGTCAGAAGAATATCAAGTCGTTCATCAAGTGTTAAAAATTTCATAGTAATTGTGTTGTAAATTTGCATTAATTCACGAGCACGAATTGAATAAGGTGTACTAATAAATGGAAAATAGTTTTCAATATTATTCTTGTAGATATCGAGATATTTAATTAAAATTAAAAGTCGTATCTTGTATTCTGAAGAAATACTTTATTGTAATTTTTTTTCACCAATAAAGAGTTGTTTAGAAATCTCGATTCGTTTTGTATAATAATTACTCTTGTAAAACTGTCTTTGTACAGAAAAAAGTGAAACAAAAAGTATTCTTCAAAATGATTATATATTGATCTCTGTAGCTCGCTTAGTAACGAAGTTTGAGCATTAGAAATCTCTATCCTATTGAAAAAGCCAATTAAACGTTACTATTTGAAACGTTGGAAATAAATTAGTAGACTAAGTATGGATCAATTAATCAATTCTTATTAGAAAAACACTTTGAAATTGTTTTATAATTCATTAGATATTTAAAGCATTAATTGAAAATAATCAATGTACATCATAAAAATTATAATTTAAGAATTTGCTTTTTTTTGACTTGGAATTTTTATAAATTTATTATTTTTTGGATTGCTTTCTTAAAACATTCTATTCTCGCATTTCTTATAAGGGAACGTTTCCAACTGATTAATTGCTTTTGAATTTGGACCCTTATACTGGAGATAGACTCGAATGAAATACAAAAACAAATCTCAAAATGATTGATCCACTTAAACCTTTTGTCTAGAATTATAGGAATCTTATTAGAGTTTTTGGTCTTGGTCATGGTATATACAAGCAAATCTCATAACATTAGATCCTCATTCAACAGAGCAGTGCTGCTTCTATCACCAATAAATATTTCATGTCAAATGCTTTTAGTTTATCTGATTTATGAAGTATTCTTTGGGTGATCCTCACATGAAAGTTGATGGAAATCATTGAAAAGTAATCGATATCTATGACTAATTTTAACCAGAATCCTTGAAACTTTTTTCAGTGAGTACTCTGCTCTAATCAAGTTTTCCATGAAAATTTCACAATCGTAGTCATTAATAGAGAAGAGATCCATACTGAAGCTTTTTCGCGCCTCAAAATTACAGCGAATTGGGGTATTCTACCTTTGACATAATATGGACATACGAATCTTTATTTGTCAATAAGAAATTGGATACTAATGCATTTCAATAGTAGAAAACCAGTAAAATGGCAAAAAAAAAACTCTTCTTTTGTACCCTATGAAAAAAAAATAATGATTTCGTCGTAGATTCATTGCATGAAGACCTATCAGTCTTTAGTTTCTGCTTGCAACCAGAATTTACTGAGCTCTATTTGTAGTCCAAATAACAAGCAAACTTTATTTCTGATAGCAGGGCTTCTTATGACTTCTGTACAACTTGTTTACTGTGACCACACGTATCATGTTTTGCTATTTCTTTCTACTGGCTATCATCTATTTCTTACAAACTATGAATATCTGGGGTTTATGGATGATTCGACTATATATGAAACGAAAAGAATGTTATTACGACATGAACATTTACTTTGCAAAAAAAAAATTAATTAATAAGTTAGAATTAAATTTAATTGATACTGATATTATTTCAAATGTAGAAAGGCAAATCACATTAGAAAATTGTAAAAAGAAAAGTTAAATTTTATGTTGTAATTGAAAAATTTTTTACTTCAAAACATTTAGATAGAAATAGATCAACAAAAGCATAGATAACCAAGTGTTTTAACTAGGAAAGAATTAAAGTAGATATTCTAGAACAGTTTTCTCTTTTCACAGTAAGCTAAAGAAGTTTTACTGTAATTCAAAATCACTTACTCCATTTCTGTTGTTGAACCATCTTTATATTTCCATCTTTTTGGTTGAGCAACACGTTCAAGAAAACGTTGTATATTAACTTCTTTATTATATTTTTGAGCTTCTGTTTTATATCGATCAATAGTTGCTAATAATTCTGTTTCTTCATCAACTAATAATGCTAATGCTGCTTTTCGAGCTATTTATAAAATATAAAAAAATACATTAACCATGCTAAATTTTTTCTTAATTTTCTCTTACCAGCACCCTGTTTTGTTGCATTTATTTTTGCTATTTCTTCTTCACGCCATTCTAAATAATAGAAAATTAAATTTATTTATTTATTTATTTTTCTAATAAATTTTTTACTTTCAAGTGCAGCATATAGTACATCAAAATCATCTTTTGTTCTTGGATGTAAACGTCTATCAAGATCATTTTGATAACGTTGTTGTCGTTCATCTAATTGTCTTTGTTTTTCTCCTAATTCATGTTGTATTCGTTTTTGAAATGCTTCTCTTAATGTATTTACATCACGTTTAGCTAACCAACGACGAAAATATTTTTGTATTATAATTGCCTATTAATATCAAAAATAAAAAATTTTCTTTTTTTATTTTTCTTACATCATTATTCTATTACTTTTTTATTTAAAATTTCAAATTTTTCTTCAGCTGTTTGATATCGATGTGGTGTTAATAAACGATCATTTTCATTTGAAACATAATAACCAGGTTTACTCATTTGTGTTGATTGTTCATTTGTTGTTTGAATGACTCGATGTCGTGATTGAATTGTTTGTGTATCACGACAATAACGCATTATACCTTTGTCGGGTCTTTGTGGTGGTAAGGTTTGAGCACTAGCATGATGAAATTCTTTTCCAGTCATACGATGACGTATACCACCCAAATAAGGTTTACGAAAATTATTTCGTTCAATTTCAACAACAACATCACGACTCATACTTTGACCTGATTTCAATAAAAACAAATTTTTTTTTGTAATTAAAAAAAAAAATAGATTTTTAATACCTTCATCAATTCGAACAGTGATTACATCAGGCATAGAAATATCTTGACGTGGTTTATATGGTCGTAATGGTTCATTTATCGGATCTTTTGAATGTAATTCTAGAAGAAAATTTAAACACAAAAAAAGAAAAGAATACATTTTGTTTATAATATATTAACTAACCCATGCTAACGGTAGTATTTGGTTCGACTTCGATTTCGGAAAGAGTTAATTGATTATCAAGAGCTTTTTCTAATAAAAAAAAACACACACAGAAAGAAATATGCATTAAATAAAAATATGACTAATATTTTCTTTTACCTTTAAATATTATTTGTAAAATATTTTCTGGCATACGTAATTCTTTAGCAAAATGTGTAATTAATTCATTTATGGGTGATCGAAGTGGAAAAGCAACTGTTACAGTTTGACCGATTGATTCAAGCAACATTTTAACTGTTGCTAATTTTGTTTCTTGTTCTTCATTTGAATCTTTTGATTCATTATAAACATTATTATTATCTTCACCTTTATCATTGATCATTGTTGGAAGAGGTGGTAATGGTAAATTGTGTTCGTCAGACATTTCTAAAACCTTTAAAATATTCAACTATGTAGAAAAATCTACTGAACCATTTAAAATGTTTATCTCCTAGCAACAATCCTTCATCAAGAAGTTTCATCTAGATGACTCTAGAATCGATAAAAATCCTATTGGATAAACTAAATTTCTCCCAAATAATAATTTTGAAAGACGTATTTTTATTAATGTCAATTATGGATAATTCGAAAGTATCAGGCAATTATGGACGTGGTAATTCAGCAAAAGATATCTTACCAAATTCAGTAAATGTAAATATTTAATTTAATTTATATTTTTATTTTTATTATCATAGTTGAATTCATATTCATGTCCACTATCACCATCAATAAATATTAATAATAATTTAAATGTAGCTAGTGGACGTGCTGCACAAGTTCTACGTCAAATAAAGTTAGTTAAATAATTCATTTATATTGTTTTTTTTTTTTTTGTATTATTATTTCTATTATAGACAATCATCTTTATCAAATTCATCGAAAGATCTGTAAGTTTTCGTTTGAAAAGAAATATTTCTTCTTTTGATCAACAAATGATTAAATCTTAGTTTAGAAAATCAATTATTTATTCGTTGTACAACAACTCAATGGTATAAATATCTAGTTGAATTTCAACCAATAATAACAAGTCGAACGACTCGTTTTACAATGATTAATCATCTATCAAAATATCTCGGTGATTTACATAAATTATATGATGGTCAATTTATTTATGTTTCACATCAACTGTCAAAAGAAGTAAAAAAAAAGTGTTTTTATTTATAAAAAAAAAAAAATATTTTTCCTTAAATAGACTTTTATTTTTAATAATACAACAATGAATATACCAAATGAAGTACGTATACGATATATTGAAACAATTAATATTGAACAAATACCAATTGATCTTATTAATGTTCTATTTCGATTGTAAGTTAAATATTTAAACATAATAACAAAAAATGAAAAGAAATATTTTAGAGCAATTGATCAAGGTCGAGAATCAATTATCAATTCAACAAATCGAAATGGTGGATATCGACCAAAGTAAATTCATAAGAAAACTAACAAGAGAATGTATTCAACTGTTGGATGTCATTCGGCTTCATAGTTTCCTTATAAGTTGAACTGAGTGAAACTAAGAAAGTTTGAATTCATGCATTATCCAGTTAAATTTATGATGGCTTCAGTGAGTTTTTCACTTCTGAGTCAGATATTCATGGAAAAGTCAATGATAAAATTTCCATCTGAAATTTTACTAATAAACAGTTATCATAACTACTAGAATATTCTAAGAATTTCAGCTTAAAAAACAATGTATTCTTCTCGAAATATCGAGTATCCAAGGAATGCTTAAATATTACAAGGCAAACCATGGAATCGAGTTGTTTTAGATACTCAATATCTCAAGAAAACTACATTTGTTTGAAGTGAAATTTTGAGGACATTCTAGTGAACGTAAGATCTGTTTAATGGCAACATTTCAGATAAGAATCTCATAATCGAGCTTTCCATAAATAATTGGTTCAAAGGCTGAAAAGCTACTAAAATAGTTATAGCTTTGGCTGGTTAATGCATAGGTCTGGATCTGTTTAAGGTTTTCTTAACTTCACGAAGTCTCACTTATAACCAAAATATGGGACTGCACGACATCTGACAATTGGATATATTTTTTTCGTAAGATTTGATTTTTTTTATTGAAGAGTACGTCATTGGAATGGTAAAATTGTACAGATTGAACATAAAGACGATGGAATATTATTAACTATTGATTTTGTACAAAAACCATCAACAACATGTTATGAAGAATTGTAAGATTTTAATTAAGAATAAACAAACAAATAAAAAAAAATTTATTTAGAGAACGTTTCTATATGTCAAAATGTGGTGATGATTATCAAGAATCTGCTAGAAAAGAATTAATTAATAAACTTGTTTTAACACGATATGATAATCGAACACAACGTATTGATAATATTGATTTTCAACTTACACCAGCTACATTTACATTTAATGATGATTCACAAACAACATTAATGGATTATTATCTGTAAATTTAGTTTTTCTTTTTTTTTTGAATAAGAAAAAAAAAATATAAATAATTATTTATTATTATAGACATAAATTCGATATGATAATTAAAGATCCTGATCAACCATTAATTGTTTATTGTCCACGACGACCTGGTGAAAATACTGTACGAATAAATCATTTCATTATTATTATGATTTAATATGAATATTTTCTTTTTAAAAAATTTTTTTAGGCAAATACAGAAGTTAATTATCTTGTTCCAGAATTTTGTTATTTAACTGGTTTATCCGATCGTGCACATCGAGATGCTCGAGTACAAGAATTATTCTTTTAATAAATAAATTTACTATCATCGTTCTCTTCTATAGGCACGAAAGATACATAATCTTATTCCATTAGATTCAGCTGGACGTCAAGCGGAAATATCTTATTTTGATGATATCATTCGACGAAATATTGCAACAATTAAATATCTTGCTTTATGGGGTATTGATATTGTTTCAACGAATATTCCAATACATTCATCCATAGACGAATCATATCGAGTATATTTAACAACAAAGAAAAAAAACAAAAGATTTTTAGAAGATTTATTTTTTTAGAAAATATCTTATAATGATACAGTACTTGAAGATGATGAAGAAAATGAACAAAAAGATATGCAAGATAATGATCATTCTTATGGACATTTTATTAATCCGGTATGAAAAATTTTGTCTTTGAATTACATTTGATTATAATTAGTTTCGACAATTATCAATCGAGATTGATTATGAGGAGTTTCATACTTTTTGATTGTCAGAATAGAGTATTCTTCAACTTTACTGACACACTCATATATTTATGAATGAGAACATATATAAAAAAAAAAAAAGAATCTGACAAAGATTGGAGCGGAACGCAATAAACTTTCAGTTTATACCGATAATCCTCTTCTATACAGTAGGAGTTTAGAATTCATTCCCCTAAATCTACTTTGTCAATCACATTAACATAAAATTGCAATTTTCTTCTGAATTTGACTGAGTCCTCATCATAACTTTTTATACCTGTGATATAAACAGAAGAAAAGTAACCACTAAAATCTCAAAATCGATCATTATTTCCTAAGAAGTTTTTAATGTATAACAAATTCATTGCATGTAACGTAACACAAGAATGTGACTATTTTCTATAGGCCCATCATAATTATGACGTTTCTTCTGTTTATATCACTGTTATTAAACAAGATAATGTCATCGAGTGATATACCATTTAGAACATTTTCCTAAATATTCGAAGCTCATATAGATATAGCTGAATAGTGCNTTTTTTCTACAGAATTGAGCAAACTTTAATCACATTTCATCAAGAATTATAGTTCTCTGAAATATACGTTGAAAATCATAGTTCAAAGCCGAACTTTTTTCAACAATCTACATCGAAAACACAGAAGCATTACTTGTATTCATATCAGTACCTATTCAGTTTGCCGGAAATTTACCGGTTCAAGAACAACTTATAAACGGCCGTTTTCCGGCCGGACCGGACCGTTTTCAAAATTTCTTACCGGTTCCAGCTCTGGTATTAATGAAGTATATCAATTCATAATGCGATATATAATTGATCATGGAAATCAGCAAGCTATATCTTCCCTACAATTAATACTAGCTGTAGTTCTGAACGGAACAGTCGACTTGATCCAAAGTTCTTGTCCTCAATAGCTTGAGTTATTCATACATATAAAAAGCTATATATTAGTATTAGAGTAGGCCATCTATCACAACATAGTTAACATGCTATTAGACAAGTTGCTCGAGACAAACAGCCGTTAGTGACTTATCCACGATCATTTAATGGTTTGTAGTATCTATCAAAATTTGAAAACAGTATCTTGTGAATATTTGTTGAACAACGTAATCATAGTGATCTTCTTTGAGTTTTTCTTTTGTAATCTCTGACGTTTTTTTCACAAGGTTATCGATTTTACAAAAGCAGTATAAATATCTTTACTACAGTTCATATTTAGTCCTTTCTTTGTCTAATTCAACTAGTCATTCTTACTTTATGATTAGAGATGACCTAAATTTGTTCACTAATAAAGATGATCTTATTGTAATGTTAATAGACACAAATATTTATTGATGGATATGTTAAATAAAACTTCAAAGGACGTACTATCATATTATGAAAAAAAAAAGCAATAAAATCTCTTAAATTCTATAAGATAAATTTATTTGAATTTGAAGATTGAACTCAATAATTGGTTATTAATTTATCCAAAGCTTGACGAAGATCGAGCATCAATCTATGTCAATATGCTTCGACAAGTAGGTCAACAACAAGGAATGCTTATTAGTGAGCCAATTCATGTAAAAATGGATGATGATGAAACAGAAACATATGCAAATACACTTCGTTGTAATCTCAATGAACAAGTAAATAATGACTTTGACTTTCATTAAATTTTTTTGATTCAAAATTTTTTCTTTAGATACAACTTGTATCAGTCATTGTTAAATCACGTCGAATTGATCGTTATAATACAATTAAACGTATCTGTTGTATTGAAATACCAACTCCGACTGAAGTAAGAAGATTATTATTTTAAATATGTTTAAACTTTCTGTTTTTTTTTTTTAAATATATATACATACATATATATTTATTTATTTAGATTGTTTTAAGAAGTACAATTGCTGATGACGATATTCTACCAGGTGTTGCATTGAATATTGCTCGAGATATTAATTTTAAACTTGGTGGACAAATTCGAGCAAATAATATTAATATAGTGAAATTTCATTTTAAATAAAATAAAAACATTTTTAACTATTTTAAATCTTGTTTTAGCCAAATATAATGATGATTGGTTTAGCTACATGGACATCGACACATGTAAATTATAAATCATCAGAACATCTTGATTATGTTTTGGCTATTGTTGGTTCATTGAATCATAAAATGACAGAATATTTTAGTCATGCAAAATCATATAAAAATGAAAATGATCTTCGATATGATATTGGACTTTTTGTTCGATTAGCAATTGATGCATATTATGAAGTATAGAAAAGTTTATTTTTTTATTTGTTTCTATTGAGTATTTGATTTTTTATAGGAAAATAAAATTTATCCAACAACAATTATTATTGGACGAAATGTTTTATCATCATTTGATGATTTAAATATAATTAAAGAAAATGAAATTCAATCAATTATTGATATGATTACACATAATAATATTATAGAAGATTATAAACCACGATTAATTATATATGCATTTATGAAACAAATGATTTATGATTTTTATAAATATGTTCAGGTATACGAAATTTTACTTTTTTGAAATATATTCTAAAATGATTGTTGAAATATAGACGTAGAATTTTGGATCTCTCACAGACTAAGACACATATTGTTGATAAATATGTGTCTCATTATAATATATGAACTATTTCCTTGTTGCAGTTCTGGAGAATTAAGTCAAAGGATACTGAAGAAATGTATCCCTTAATAGATAGAATAAAGCAATCTTCTGTAGTTAGCACAGTAGCAACTACATTTTACTTCACATGTTAATCCTAAAGGTATTGTAGTAACAGCTTTTTTTATGTCAGTTTTCATATAAACATGTAATAAAATATATGTGAAGACTTCAAGGACATATATTTTGGGTTACAACTTATTTCATTCATATAAGTATTTGAAGTGCAAAGATGAATATGATGCTCATAGATTGAAGTGATGCTTTCCTGAGGAAATCAAATCTTCAAGAGAAAAAAAAAAAAGGAAAATTAATAAAGAGTAGGGGACATACGTATGTGCTGTTTTTTTTTTCTCTTAAAAGTCTCTTTAGTGTTAGTATAGAGTGTGATAACCCGTATAAATTTTATTGTTGATCAGAACATTGATCGTGTTTTTCCTTTTTTAATATAATTCAGAGAAAGCTCTGTAGTTTTGTCGGACTAAATAGATGATTATAAGAGATGAACTTTGCCACATTGTTTTAGATTTCTTTTCAGCCACATTAAAATAAACTTGCCATAAAAAATGGACCTTCGTTAATAAATTGAAATGTTCTTAATATACATTAATTTAATTATTTTCAAAGCAAAGACTTCTTTAGAATCACTGAAAAACCACTGATTTTTATGCAATAGTTGATAACGAGTGTATTCGAATAAACATCCATCTCAGTATTTTTCTTTTAATATCTTGTTGAATCTTGACTGTACAGGCTTGATCTTTTTTTTTTTTTCGAAAAGATGTGTTACTCAATTCTTAACAAAAACTTTTCTAAAACAAAATTAAGCTTGAAAATTATAAGTTAAAACTATATGAGCATAAAAGAATAGACTTTCAAACCGACTTTTGTAATAAATTTCAGAAGATTTCTTTTATATTACAATACACAACGAAAACATTGTTATAGTACTATGAAGTGTTCTCTTTCACGCTATACAATTCTAAGATTATTGAAATCGAATTGAAGAGTGACAATTTTGACTTTTCAAAATTCTTTTTTTTTTGATTCTGAGATTAAATAAATAGTCATTTTTCATTGAAATCACAGTACTGAACTTAAAAGAGGATGTTAGTTATTTGCCTCATTATGTTACTTTCCCTTTGAACTCCCTAATAACAGATTAAAATAGCTTGAATGCTCAAAAAAGAATGAAAGAAAAATTGATAGAAGCACGTCTCAAGCATTAATTTCAAAGTGTTCCAATTATAGTCGGTTGATAGAGTAGTCTTAAGAACTATACGATGGCTGTAATATCTTATTTTTATTGTTTTTATTCAACGAAGAATTCTTGAAAACTGGCTTTGCATCTTTGAAACTAATGTTTTATCCAGATTCTCTCTTTTGTGGATACAGTTTTAAACTCTGAGACCATGAATATCTATATTTAGCAGCAAAGACACATAGTATGCAGCACAATAACTACAAGTTCCGGCAGAATCAATTCAATCTTCGCAGGGGTATCACCCTCTGAGCTTTTACAATAAATAGAACACAGTTTGAAAAGTTATCATTGGATGTATTCTTAATAGCCAATTATTCTATTTTTTTTTTAATTTCTTCAAAAAATTGCTTGAAAAACATCGTGTTAGAAAATGAATAGCATATTTTTTAGAAAAAATTTAAGCATGCAAAATGAAAATTGAGCGAGATAGTAAAAGAATACATAGAAGGACATTTATTTTAATGCATTCATTATTATGATTCTTCTACAGGATGTACACGTTGTATTTGCTAATTTTTTAATTATCCACTAATTGACTTGATCTCATAATGCACAACATTGTATGTAGGCGTATTCTGTAGCAGTATCATGATTTTTTTTTTCGTTCATATTATCTAATGGCATATGACAAGTCAGATTTCGATTCGAGTCATTAGTCATAATAGTATCATGAAGTACAAATGAAATAAAAATAGAACGGATGTATACATTATTAGATGTTTTTTTAATGGCGGATATATTCTATTTTTATTTTTGCACATAAGAGTTTTTATTAATCTGAAAATTATTTCTATGTATTCTAGGTCAAAAAAATTGCTAATGTTGATTGTTTAATTGCAAAAGATTCGTAAGTAATCTTATATTTCATTGTTAAAGACACAAAAATTTAATATATATCTAGACCAAATTATTGTTTCTATTTATCATCACATCGTGATCATTGTTCAACATTAAAGGCTCGTCAATTTCTTGTTCTATTTGATAATACTGATTTATCAGCACAAAAAATTCAACGACTTATACTTTATTTAACATTACATATTCCACAACGTAATCAATTTTTTTTGCCATCAGTTTGTCGAGTAAAATTTTATTTATTTGTGTTTCAATATGTAAATGCAAATTATTTTTTTGTTTCTAGTTTGCTCAACGTCTTTCATCGTTGGTTGGTGAAACTCTTGGTGATTTACCAAATTTTTCACAATATAAAAATTTATTCTATCTTTAAATATTAACAGTATTCTTGTTTGAAAAATAACTTTGTGTATTCTAGTCGACAGATTTTGTTTTTTTTTGTTTGTTTTGTTTTCTTCAGATAATATGAAATGTTTTTGTTATTGTTATTTAAATGTTTTCTATGTGTTTATTCTAGATGTATATTCAAATTGGACATCAAGAATATTTAAACTTTTCATCATTACATACATTTGATGATTTAATTCAAGAATTAAATCATATATTAGGTGAAGATACATATATTATTGAAAAAAATGGCAAGAAAATAGATTTATCTAATGAATATCAATTGTTAGAAGATGATGCATATAAAATTTGGCCTAAAGTACTTGGAGGAAAGGTAAATTTTTCGAAAAAAATCTCTTTAAATCTATTCATTTCCATATATGTATTTTTCTTTTAAGGGTGGTTTTGGATCTTTATTGCGTTCATTTGGTAAACAAATTCTTATATCAAAAAATAAGGAAGCTTGCCGAGATTTAAATGGACGACGTATGAGAGATGTAAACAATGAGAAAAAGCTTAAGGTATGTAAATTTATAAATAATATGCATTATTATTTATAGTTATTCAATATTGTTGAAAGAGAGAAAGGGCAAACGGGTGCACATGATTTTTATATTCCTATATAATAAAATATAAGCATTTCATTTCTTTTCTACTCAGCGAGGTCAAAATGTCTTTTTGTATTGTTTTTTTGGCATATTCATAAACAACCCTCGAACATTTTGAGAGATACAGTTTTTTTAACCGCATTTTATTGCCGTTTAAGTAGAACATATTTAATCATAAAAATCTATCCTTAATTAGCTGCTTATTGAATAATAACATCTGTTCTTTTATTTAAGGAATGGATGCAAAAACAATTAGAAAAATCTGCTACATCATCAACTGATCAAAAAAGTAAACCATCATCAGATGAAGAAAAACATGATTATCGAAGTGTTCCACCACCACATAAATTTTCTGATACAACTTATGATGAACAAAAAAAACAAATTGCTGAAGATATGAACGAAGCTGTACAAATCGCTGCTGAATTGATTCATGCAGAAAAAAAGAAGAAAAAATCATCAACAGCAGTTAGTACACGAGATGATGATGATAATAATGACAATAATGCTGATGAAAAAGTGACAACAACAAAAAAACGACGTCGTTCAGATGAAACACTCGAAGATGGAGAACTTAAAACTAAGAAAACAAAAAAAGAAAAAGGGGCTAATGCAGCATTTTTTCTAGGTATCGATCTTGGCGACGTATCAAGTGACGATGATGATGATGACGAAGCAGTTCATGCAAATGATGCAAAGAAAAAAAAACTGGCTAAGAAAATATAAATAACTGATCTGCTTTTGTTTTTGTACTTGTATGTCATGGTCATTTTGATTCTTACTCTCATATAATAAACATTTAATTTTGTGCAGCGTCAATTCAATGTTATTTCTATAAAATATTTTCAATAATTGAACATTGTATTCTTATTTTAATAGAAATTTCCCTGAGACAAAAAAAAAAGGAAACATAAATAATAGCATGCATTAATGATTAAAATTCAAGGTCGAAGATAAAATATCCATATTTCTTTTTCTGGAGCAAGATTTTTGACGGAACGATATATATTTCATATGATAGATTGCTGCAGGGTTACATCTAGACACTAAGATAAAAGAAAAATTTCCGCAATCCTGTGGGAGAAATAGAATCGTTGCATGAAATAATATTTAATTGAGCATGTTTCTGATTTTATGAATAATAACTAGAGCATTTTTTTTTAAAACTTATTATAGGATGAACAATAATCATAGAGCAAAAAAGAAAGAATTAAATAATGACTTGATCTATTTTTAATCTTTATTTTTTCCTCCTGAACCACACTATTATTTTCTTTACTCCATAATTCATAATTCTGTAAAACGCAAATATATTATACTTTGAAGAGAAAATTTGATGAGAGAATGATTCAACTGAAATTTTCACATACTTCTTAATTCCTAAAGAAAACTAGAGTCAACGAGTAAACGTATGATTGAATTTTTATGATAGATTTGTTTTCTGCATTCAAGAAATGGTTCATTGCACTGCTTTAAGCATTCCAGAAAAAAAACGATAAAGAATTGCGCAGTCTTATTCTGTCCCAGAAATTCTAACATTTTCTTTTCTTTTATTGATAAAATCTTGTCTTTCTTTCATACATATTCTATTTTGTTTTTAATGTGTCTTTTTTTTCAATTCGATGAAGTTTTTCTTTCTGATAAAACAAAATGTTATTTTCCAATTCATTAGTTATCGATTTAGATAGATTTGATTACATGATAGAAAAAAATTCTATTTAATTAATTTAGACACTTTGAGGTTTTTCTTCAATGGAATCTGCAGATAAAAATATTTAAAAAAAATTGTAGGATAATATTCGTTGTCTTACTCAATATGTAAATCTCTATTTAATTTGTAATGTATTCTATGGAAAAAAAATTGTTCAGAGTAAATATTGAATTATTGACAGCGAATGACAATGACAATATATTTCTGAACACGCATCATGAACAAATAATACAAGACTGGAAGTATTTATATCGAAAAGTTGTTTTCATAAAAAGAAATAATTGAAATATGAATGTTGCAAATGAAACAATGAACACTTTTATTTGTTCTCAGCATGGTTAAGTGAGTAATGCCTATGAATAGTTTTCTTTTTACATTCAGCGCAAGTTATATAATAAGGAAATGTTTTAAAAAAAATAGTTTAAGGCATATGAACTTCGTATCTTATTTCTGATATCATTCAGAACATATCCTAATTCTAGAGTCTTAGCAGAGAAAACATTTTGTGCTTCGAAACAAATCAGAAATAATAAAAAATGATCCATAACAGACGCTATAGGCAAATATTGTATATTTGAATGTATTTACGATCACTAAACATCTGTTGATTGAATATAAAACGAATAATTTGTATCAATTATTGATAAAATATTCCGACAGCTTTCTATAGATTACACATCAAAATTCTGAAAGTTTTATATACTTAAAACAAATAACCTCCATCTGTTCTATTAGCATAACTTTTATCCAAGAAATAACTAAAGGGTACTATTCATAGTTTCAAGGTTTATATAACTGATGATTGATTTTGGTATCTTGCATTGATCAATGATGGATATAATGGCAGAATGAATATTTTTGCAAAAAGTCATCAATGAGATTTTCTGATGTTTATTTGCATAATAATGATAACAGAAAAATACACAGTACAATCATTATATTTATAACGAATGTAATTATCCTTCTAAATATATACCAGACACAAGTCAATAGGGTTGTTTTTGAGACCTTTGATCATGGTTCAAACAACAGTACTTATACATAAATTTTCTATACGAATATGAATGTTGCTATTGATATCCAGGTTCTGACATTTTTTTTATACTAATCAACTAAAGGACAAATCATACTAAATGAATGATACTTTCTCTTTTTCATATTAGTTAAAAGTTGTAGGATAATGACTTTTCCATTCTTCAATAGAAAAATATATATATAGCTTATTTATTTGTTATTGAAAGATAAAATCATTACGTAGTCAAGTGTTTAGTATTAGTAATGCTCTACATTTCATGTTTATCAATAATTTTGTTATTAACATATTTCAGTTTACTATAAAACAAAAACAAACATTTATCATTCTATTGATAAAACAACAGCCACTAGTCATATTAGATATAAAAATACATAAGATACTTCTTGTTTGAGTTTCTTCTCCTTGGGGTTTTTCTTTCTTTCTTTCTTTTTTTAATAAATGTATATTGTTTCATTGGCACTCGATATTGAATTAACGTTTATAACCACAAAAGAAAAACAAAAGTAAAGCAAACAATAATCTGAATATAATAAAAAAAAACAAGATATAATTATAACTTATGATTAACAATCAATCAAATGTCGGTACTTGATCTTGGGTTTCAAAAAATGGAACACTTCTTGTTACTTTTAATGGTGTTACAATTAATTGTTTTGCTAAGTCTGGTATATTATTATTTACGGTTGCTGAATATCGATGATTTTTTATTAAATGTATTGATGAATGACGTGATTTTGAGCTAGATACGAAAATACTTGCATTACGGTTTGATGTTATTATTCGTGTTATACCATTTTGAGCGTCAAAACCAGCTGGTAAAGGTCGACAAAATAAAAAATGTTGACCAACTTGACGAAATTTTCTATCGAAAAAAGCATAAAGAATAAATGTCGATGATGCATTTATGACAGATAAAAGATTATTTATAGCTAAATATTGTCTTGCACGTAGATTAGCCATTAAGGTGGCACCAAACCATGAATAAAGAACATTAAATATAAAATAAGGAAACTGTGTAACAAGAAATACAAATACAATTGATAATAATAAGAAATTAATAGCATTTGATGATCGATTTTGTTTTGATAAATTACCCAATAAACGTTTACGTCGACGTACAGTATAAAGTTTTTTAATAATCATTGTTTTACATATTAATATTGTTGATAATGGAATAAGAAAAACAAAAATAAAATAAAGAAATTTTCGCATTAATAAACGAAATAATCGATGTGCTCCAAATTTTGATAAAGATATAACTCGTGTATTATTATTTCCTTCAATGAGAGTAAATTCAAACCAAAATGGTATACAATATAATATACAAAATAATGCAACACATAAAACAACAAATACTGCATGTCGTGGACTACGCCATTTTTGACCTCGAAATGGTAAACATATAAGAATAAAACGATCAACAGCAACTGTTGCTGTTAAATATATTTGTATTAACAAACATGTTACATGTATGGGAAAAACTTTCGTAAATATATATTGATAAAATGTTTCAGCATGAAAAGTTGAGCGTATTCCATGTGTTAGTAAAAAACCAATTAAAACACATGATGATGCACATGATAGTGCAAATATATAAATATTTGTTGTTGATGTACGCATAATTCGACTGGATAATATCACACATGTTAATGCATTACCTAATAAACCACATATACATACTATTGATAGTAAATAACCTTCGACAATACGTTTAAAATCCACGAGACGTTGTTCAGAAAGTGCTGTCGACATCGTCGTCGACGATACATTCATGATTATTCGTTATAATGATCAATTAAAATATCTTCTACTTTTTGTACTTTTTACTTGTAGATAATATTATTGTGAAAACTAAAAAAAATGAAAGATATATTTTTTTGTCTTCTTATTAAAAATTTATAGCCGGTAAATATATTCCGACAAAAACTTTGAACTATGAGTATGGTTTACTTTTATCTCAGTTTCTTTTTCTCTCTCAATAGAATGTAAAATGTAAAAATAAAAACCTAAAGAAAGTGAACTAGAATAAAATTTTGCAATTGGTTACTAGAAAACGAACTAATCTTATGATGATTTTACTTATATACAAGACAATTCAATATCGATATATGAATGTAAATGATGGGATAAATATAGAACTGATTTCTATATTCTTTTTTGTTTTACATATTCAAAGGATGATAGCATATAGAAAAAAAAAAACAAATGACGATTCTTTTCTGAGCGGCGAGGTCGATTAGAGTGTTTTTTTGTAACTCTCTTTTTTATGTTTGTCACATTCGCCAAAGTACTCGTACCGAAGAAAAAAAATCGAATACTATTTTATTGTTATTATTAATCACTATTGTTGAAATGTTTTATAAAAGTTTAACTAAAGATGATAAAAATAAACTGTTTTTTTTTGCTGTGTGTTTTATAACTATCTCATAGTTTATAATAACTATAGAAGTGTTTACATGCAATTAGTTTTATGTGAATACATACGTGTGCTTGTTAGTTCACCACACCCTAATGAGAAAAGAAAGCTGGATATATTGACAGGCAGTGTAATTCAGTTCTATCGGATTACTTTGTGCGACCATACACAGCTGGTAATACGACTATTTTGATGGATAATAATGGGAATTGTGCGCAGCCCATATAATTTAATCAATTTGGGCAGGGTACGCTTATATGATATACTCTAAAGGTCTTTCTAGTTTACAATGATATTACAAGTTCCAATCTCGGAATTGAGTAGCAGTAAAATGAAAATAGAGAAAATATTCTTTAATTGCCACTGATACCCGTTTTAGTCTATATGCATACATATGTATGTTATCTATTGTGCATCGAAATAATTTGAACGATTAGAAGCGTGAAATGGATTAAGGACATATTTCTCTTAGTAACAAGTTTTTAAGCTTATCTATAGAAGCTGTATCAAATAATAAGAGTATTATGAATAGGTGACATTGAGATAGATCAATATATCTACCATCAACATTGAATTTCTATCTATATGTTTTTATCTCTCTATGCTCCTCTCTATTGATCTTCTTCATCAGCCGGAAATACTGTGTGCTCATCAGTGTTATTGGAACGATGCATGCACACTCTTTTTCTTTTTTTTTTTATCACTGCCTAACAACCGAAATGAATGTCTGTTCTCGTTAGTTGTATAGAGGGAAAAACAGATCGAGAGAAAACTCTCGACAGAGAGAGGAATAAAGAAAAAGAGAAAGAGAGAAAGAATAAGAGAAGAAGAATAGAAGAAAGAAGTTTTTCTTGCTTACAGAAATCATCAAATAAAAAATTGATATTATTTTGGATGTCATTGATTGATGATTGTTTTATTATATCAAGCATGCGATTATGTTTAGATTTTTGTGACCCTTCAAAGCTGTAAAATCAAACTGATTTTCTTATATTTAATAGACAAGAGTTGGATACTTGAGAAAATTAATGAAAGATGTATGAAAGTACTCAAACCAAAAATGGATGATAATTCACTGAAAGAGACTGCAAATTTCTTTTTGATAAATCGCAATAGTTCTAAAAGTTCATATGACTGATAAATAAGCAAAGAATCTCTTACTGCCAACAGCAAAATCTATTTATATACGAGCTCCAATGTTTTCATTCATTCAATTTAGTTTATTCAATCAATGGATGTTTCGTTTGTTGATGATCTCGGGTACTCATGTTTTTGTGATCCATTTACCATCAAAATATATTATATTCCGAACAACATATAGACAGACAGACAAACAGACAGACAGACAGACAGACTATTATAACCTTTTGGTTTATGTTAGCAATGCTTTTTTAGCTTCGTTATCATTTTCTTGTCGATAATATATCCGGTAAATGTCAAAATTAGATCAGTATTCAACGTACTAGAATTGACAATAAATACCATTTAGACTTGAGCATTTATATTTCGTTGTGTACATAATAAACATTTGAAAATGTCTAGTTAAAATGCTACAACAAAGTTATTCTCCTTAATGTACTCTTAAATTCCCTGAAGGCCTTCTAAACAAATTGACGGCAACAACAAAAATAACAAGAACTTTGTATTTTTAGCATTTGTATTTAATATAAAGCAAATAATTTAATAAATCTGCATACGAAAAATGAATACTGATTGATAAATTTTAAAAAACTGCCAAATAACAGAATTATTTTTATGTTCTCATAATATGATAAGTTGTTTTTTCTTCTCTTATGCATAGCTTCATTCACTTCATATCCAGTCTTTCATTAATATGCAATGCGCAACAGATTCTATTAATCGACTAAAAAGGAAATCATTCATCATTATCATCAATATCACAGCACCAAATCTAGACAAACACATCTTATACACATGTTAATCGATGTAACGAGAGGATATATACATGTATAATAATCTACAAACAGATGTATACAAAAAACTTGTTGAAGTTTGACGATCGAGAAAAAATAATCGACCGTACATACTTAACAATGTCGTCAATAATTCTCTTATGTGCGTACGTTGCTAATTTTTCTAGAAAAAAAGGAGCTTATCAAACCAGATCAATCGTAGAACAATACATGTATATGTAATAATAGTGTTTTGTTTCTTTAATAATTAACTTCACTCACTGGGGTATATATACTAGTAAATAGCCAAAGAAAAAAGATAAAAGAACAATAAGAAAGACAAATCATATGTTCATAAGCCAATGAAAACAAATGAACAAGAGAAAAAATAACAAAATAGCAAGAAAATGTATCACCATGTAACAGACAAAAAGAAAAGTATTGATAAGAAAAAGCGATGCACATTAAAAATGTATCGTGGTTTTGAGAATTGTTTACATTGTTTTTATATTGAATTAGTTCACATAGTTTTTTTATCGTCTAAAACAAGAAAATAATTAATAATACAGTAAATATTTTCTCTATTCGTAAACCAAAACATAATATTCCTATTACAAAAAAGGCTTACTGACTTTTTTTCTCAGAAAATCTTCGACGAACTTGATTGATTGTTTATTTGTCAGATTTATCTTATTGTTTTATGTAGTACATCATTAGGAACACCATACAAATTCTTATATGTGAATTGATCAAAGAAATAAACTAATTGTATTCTATTACTCAAACAAATACTAAACAATATAAGAAAAGCTATCTCCGCTCTAGATCAACAAATCCATAGAATTATTTAATACATTAGGGAGACATGCCACAAACGCTCTTGTTCGATTGCTAATGTAAAATATATTATTGTTTCTGACACAAACAATGATAAGGTTGAAAAAGATATTCGTATTAAATTTATTATGCATGAGACTTGTTTACAATCTTTGATTTATTCACAATGTTTTGTTTTCTAACATAAGGAAAATAATGAATATAGCAAATTTTTTCTTAAATGGATGTTTACACAAGAGATTTCAATAAGTGTTATTTCTCTGGAGAGATGTATTATAATTTTAGAGCTTCTCATTGCTTGACATATGCGAGACAGATCAATAAACATTTCACTGGGCTTTTTCTAAATAATATTTCTCGTTAAAAATTTGTCCATCAACTGTTTGGTAGATATTCTAACCAGTTCTGTCATGCTACAAACTGTTATTTCTTATGTGAAGATTGTTCTACAAACAGAAATAATTGAATTTTATCCTATTGAAGAAGACAGAAAAATCTCAAACTCTCTTATGATCGACATTAAAATAAACAGATAGTTTCCTATTTCTCTATGCTCGACTTAAACTGCAATGTATTTTCTCTCAAGCATAATTATTAGATATACAATTTGAATAAGAATTTCATTTCGATTCTGTTTGATTGTTATTTGTTAATACTTAAAACTTGATAGTAAAATATGCTTTCGATATTTCAGTAAAACATGTAAAAATTTATCTGTTGTACAAAATCTATCTGATTAAAGTGCATATTTCTCTTAGAATTATTAGCGAGCTAATCTTCTAAACAATAACCTAGATAGTAATAGTAATACTAAATATAATGAGAAGTTTCTATTAGAAGATAAGCAGATGTGTGAACATGTAGTTGATCAGCTTAGTTGGAGAAAATCTGTTTCTATGATATGGGCGTTACAATATATATATATGCTATATCAAATCACTGATATTTTATTATCTTCACTAAAATGCATGCATAAAAATATATTGACATTCATCTATAAAACAGAAATATTCTTTTCGCTCAATGTTTTATTGCAGGTTTTTATCGAACGTAAAGGTCGAAGATGCGGTGCTTCTCCCAAGATCCAATAGGCCTTTTTGAAATTAGTGGGTCTTGCACCACATATTATGTTGTCTGTGCTTCCAAAAAAAAAGGAATTCGCTCTACAAGATTTTTTAATTGGCCTTCTAGAAGAGAAAATCTGGATTAACCACTGTTTTGTTATATGTAAATGTGCAATAAATGAATATTTGTTTTCGGTCATACTACAGTCAAAACAAATGATAACTAATTATTTCTGACTTATATCTATTAAAATGTCTTATGAATCAAGTCTATTCTGTAGAAATTACTTTAAATGAAATAAACCATGCGTAAAAAGAACAAGTTTCTTTATTGCTGATGTTCTCTAGAAATTAAGAAGTTGATATTGGTTCCAAATCCTGTGAATTTTGAAAAGTTCAGAGTCTTTTAACTAGTGATCCATATTATCAGCTGAAACAAAAAGAATAAAATACATCACTAAAAAGAAATTTTTCCGTTCACTCTATTGTTTTCTTCATCTTTCTTAGCTCAGTCAAAATGCTCTTAGCACTGAAAGCATAAATTGATGAAGAAGACATTTCATTGATTTCTCAAAACCAAATGTTTGAGATTGTTGTCGTGATATTTAGAGTTTCCGATGAGGAAGGAAGTAATGGGGAATAGCTCCGAGCTAAATAAAAATTCGACTTTTGGGTAAAACCTTTTGGCTCTTTTTTCACCAATATATTTCAACTAAAAGATTCAAAGCGATTTTTGTGCAGTTATTTTCTGAAAAAAAAATCCTTTTTGAATTTGCCTGCGAAAATGTCGTTCTTCCCACCTCTAATTACAATTGGATACTGTAATGTTATTCGATATAAAAATTTGATCCTTATACTCTATTTTCGAGAAATAGTTTCCAAGATAACAGTAGGTACTACACTGAACTTGTTGTTACATTAGTTGAATAGTTGTATCGGTACATGCATGTAATGTATCTTCAATATCGATGAGCAAGTAAATGTCTGAAAAAACAATCATCATGAGATGATTAGACTGAATGAACTATAACCGCATTTGTCCTAGTTCAATGCGACCCTTTTCTCCTTTCCAGAGTTTCTCAAAAAGCGATGGATGAAAAGGTAAAAAGCTTTCAGAGTAGATAAATCCCGGTGAGCACAGTAAAAGTTGTTCAAGATCTAGTATCGACAAATGCTCTCTTTTTATAGATATGGATGTCTCAAGGCCCGAAAGTGATTGAAAGTTCTCTTGCTCATCAATTTAGAATGGATGGAAAAAGATAGAAACGAAAAACGTCGAAAAGAAAAATGTCGAAGAAAAATATAGAATGTGAAAAATAGATAGATGGGGAAGATATAAATTGTTGGAGGTTGCTTGAATTCGACGATTGAAAGGTTCTTTTTTTCATGACTCGTGATGTTATCCATTGTCACAATTGGCATATCGAACATGTCTACTGAACTGAAATAAATCCATTTTTGAAACGTTTTTTAAGTATGGGATAGTAATCGAACGCGCGCTAGTTAGTTGTCTTTATTTCAGATAATATGACTATTCTGTCTAATCTGATATAATTTCTATTTGCATTAAAAAGAAACTCATTGTTGATAATTCAAACAAATTATACAAGTACGCGCTATCAAAAACAAAAATAATCTGACATTGAAAATATACGACGAAAAATCGTCAACATCTTGTTTTAAGACATTAGTAATTACTATCCTTTCATCACAAATGGAAATAGGTAGTCGAGTACTTCTTTTTCTTTGACTGAAGTAACTTTTTTCAACTTCGTTTATAGGATACAGCAAAACATCCTCAAACAGGTAATATCTATGATTTTCAACTTTCCTGTATATCTGAAGCTTATACAAAATCGTTAAGAATTACCTTATACTCAGGTCACGAAAAGGGTTATATTGATGCTAATGAACTTTTTACTTCATTATCTTATGTTGTTGCTAAATAATCTTGCAACAAAAAATAACTGAATTATCATAACTTTATTTTTAGTGACATTTCTCTAGATGCCAGGCATGAATTTTTCTATTACTTTTCTTTAATCAATAAATGATTTATCGATGCTGTAAATTGTTATAATGAAAATCAATATTTTTCCTTTTCGATGTTTTCCTTTCGACATTTTTCTTTTCTTTCTTTTTCCATCATACCATCAATTTATACTTCATTTTTCTGAGCTACCATTTTATTGGTGTCGACGAGGATTGAGTTGTGATGTGTGTTGTTTTTTCTTGGAAAAATATCGCTCCTAGAGTTCAGCAGAAGCAAAATACTTGGGACACTATGAAAAACCGTGTTTTTCTCAATGGTACTAATTTTCTGAAGCTGGCTAAGTTTCATAGGAGTAATATGTCGACGAAAAAAAACTACATAGGCACACCATGACTCAATCAAAATATACATTAAAAAAATGTTGAGCTCAATTGGTTACACCTTCTAGGAGAAAAGCGACGAAAACTTCCATTTTTTTTTCTTCAAAAATTGATTTTGATAAAAACATAAAACAATACAAAATTTTGTTTCTTTTTGACATATATCTTTTTTTCATTGATGCTCATTCTGGAAAATAATAAGTTGTCTTTTGTCGCACACTAAATGTGCATATGAAGAGCTGTTTCTAACAAAATATTCATAGAATTAAATAGAACTCATTGATTATGAGCATAATGTTTAATTGAGGGAGTTGATGAATACACGTCATGATTTTCCTTCTTTTGCATAAATTGATTACTTCCTGTTCAGAATTTGGTTCGTTCACATTATAAGTATGTTTTAGATAGTAGAAGGTATTGGTATGAGTGAAGAAAGCGCTCAGTCAAACCTTCATAAAAATGAGACGATATATGACTCTGGTCATCATCAATAAACTTATAGTGACCGACAATTGATGAAAACAATACAATAAATAAGATAAGTGCATTAGATTACCATGTAAAAAAAACAATGTTTTTTTTTAGTTAGATTGATACAATTCTCATTTTTTTTGTACACATGATAGAAAACACTTCAAATGATCTTTAGAAAAAAATTTTTTTTAATTTTAGATCTCAAAAAGGGATGCTCTTAAAAGTAAATTAAAATCGATGTCATTAAATCGTCGTTTACGCAACCATAATGGAACGTAATACGATTTGATCATGATAACACTTTATTGTAAGATAATTTCTTGAGTGAAGCTTTTAGACATTCATTTTAGTAATAGATTGCATTACTAACTACTAAGTCTAAGAGAATTGTTTGTGAAGCATGTGAATGTGGATCTTCTTTTCATTCACCTATAAACTCTGATTATTCATGACTAACATATTTTGTAGAGTATTCATATTTCCAAAGACCTTTGTGTCACTTCTTCGATTACCTATGTATGAAAGTTCGTTGTATAATAACACAGATACGTCTTTAGAGGTTTCTGACATAGTAACTAACATGATTGTTTCTAGAGAAATCATTCTGTTAGTCTGTATCGCTTATATATCAGAGAGTAAAACGAATAAGAGAATCTCGATTCGGTTCATCCTGAAAAAAATGACAGTTCTCTCAGTCTCACCTTAGAAGCTAAATGTATTCAGATTTCGCCTAAAAATTCCACTAAGATCTTTGTGCGTCTGTATCCTAAATCTATCGATTTAGAGAAATTTGGAGGCTTCAAGACGGAGCTAAAGTGTAAACTAGAGGTTGCGTATTATAATGAGAAGTATTTTTTTTTATCCATAGATGAAAGTAGTAGTTTCTGCATTTGCACATTTAACGCTGATAATGTTATCCTTTTGGTGGAGAAAGACGTACGTATTAAAAAAGAGGGTAAACTAACTTCTATTTTTAGTCGAACTCTATCTCAATTTCACAGCCTTTGAATTAGGAAACCCCAATATTTGTCTGTAAACCAATTTTTCTGATGTCAGTTGTCATCTCAAATAGCGAATCAGGATATTTAGAAGAGTAAGTAATCATCAAATCTATATTTATTTATAGTTATACTGCTGATCATACAATCCCACCAGCAAACACTCGCGATACCAATAATAGAATTCTATCCATATATTTAAACATAGGTGTCACTAGTCATAGAATCACTATGGGCAAGTAACTAATGACTGTTTGTCTCGCATCATCCATTCGGTAACATACAGACTAAGTTATGACATACATCATCTCTCGTAGCTAGTATGTGGCTAGTCCGTGTATACGGAGGGGCTTAAGCGATTTTAGCGCAAGAGCTATGCATCAGGCCGACCTTCTATCCGAAACTACAGCTATTATTACTTGTAAGAAAGACATCAAGCTAATGAATCTGCTACTAGGCAGCATCTTATATCGTAAGATAATCGAAAGACAGAGATATTCTTCATCTTCAGTCTTACATCGATATTAAACTTCTTCAAGTGGTCAATACTCAAAGAATTAGCATAATTATGATAATAACAAAGGAACAAAATTCGGTATCTATTCTTATCGTTGAAAATAAGTCTCAAAAAGTGCATTAAAAGGATTAAACTTGGTATTGAAGATTCTAACAACTACTTCGAATGAGTGATGTAGACGAATCAATGAAAAACATTTTCGATCAATACATAGATACTTTGAACTTCAAGATCTGTTTGACCGACAAACGTAGATATAAACAAGCAATACGGAGAAATATATTATTATTAGTCTTTATGTACGAAATTTAATTTTGATAGAAACAAAAACTGTGTCATTCTTAGTTTTTTTTGCTTTACCTTTCAAGTATATCTAATATATAATTCCATCCCAAGTTATTATCCCAAAGTTCTTGATTATTGATTTGTAAACAAATAGCAAAATTAATTTGTTTGGGAACTTTTGTATTATCATCATATGTTTTTAAATGTAGTCCAAACGTAAATGCATCTGTATTATCATTTGGATAATTCATTGAATGCAATCCATAAATATCTTCAAATGTTTTCCAATCATTTTCACTTATACGAGCAAAAACACGCTTTTCATAAGCACGATTATGGACACGAACTGTTCCATATGCTATGGAATCTTTTGTATATAAACATTCAAGCATTACTTGCTGTTCATATATTAATGGAATCATGTTTGTTTTATAAGTAAAATACTTTGAAACTAAATAATATTGATTCGTTAATTTTTTAGAAGCATTAAAAGATGCAGATGAAGACGAACGCTTAAAAAAATTTGAAAGATCAAAACGGCATGGAGATATAGATAATAGATTTAATTGAGTTTTAACTACGCATAATTGTTCAAGTTTGTTACGGATACACTCTTGAATGAGTGAATTTGCTGATTGATCTGGTGGAGTCATATAACGAATAGATTCTAGATCAAGACCCTAAAAGTAACAAATAAATATAACGCCTAATATTTTACAAACGATATTTATTTCAGTTTTAACTAAACATTAAATATCAAGAATGACTACAGATTTAAATAAAGAAATCCATCCTCAAGTTTTGAATAATTCTTTTTTTTTTATCGAGTTTTAAAAATCCCGAACATTTTTGAATATTAAATAATTTCGAAGTATCATCCATGTATATAATTAGGAATTCGAATTTCAATAAATATTTTCTCTCTCATTGGAATAAATATAGATCAAATTCAGCGATAGTCTTCTAAAAAATAATCACTAAATCAATTTATTCAATCAAGCACTTTTTAAAAAGTTTTATGAATAATTGAAAACTTTAGAATAAACACATAAGTTTGATTTACTTTAATTTCTAATCAAAATTAAAAGCGAACACAACAAACTTTAGTATGGCATCCCATAGAATTCAAACCGGACAAAAACTAACTAATAAACCGTCGATAGACTGCTCAGTATAATGCACACTGGATCGGTGGTTAACCGACAGTAATTTGGTACTTAAACGGTCGACTATTCTCTGACCGTCATTCTATCGCGGATTGGCATTATACTGTTGACATACCACTAGTACTGCAAATAAACATACAGCAAAGGATGATTCAATCTCAGCTGTTTAGAAAAAGATGGTCCTTAAATTGAAATTGAAAGAAACCTGAAGTGACCAGTTAGAAAGAGTTCTAATATTCATTGATGAAACAACTGTCACTAACTCTGAAAAATTCAAATATTGAGTGATTCTAATGCTTTTTCCTTTCAATGGGCTCTCATGACAAGACTACCTGACATCAAGCATAAGAACACTTGCTTTTTTGTGTACTCAAAAAGTGAGTACACTCTAGAATCGGTCAGTATGTCCGGCCGGCCGTTTACACGATAACTTTCGAAAGGAGAGTCCGATCACGATGAAATTTTCTACACAGTTCAGTCTTTACAATATCTCGGTCGAGTTCGAAGATGAGAAGGATCGGCCGAGCCGNATCCGAGATTGGATGTGTCCAATGTCGGATCCGACATTCGCCTAGGCCAATCTGAGATTGGACGTAATCTCAGTTTGGACGCTGACATATATATATGTAAATTAAGATACTAGAAAAAAATGACTATTTTTGCATTAAGTGAATTTATCAATGAATGCAAATATTTACAAACTCTTGAATAGTTTCTTAAAGAATGAGAATTGATAAGGACACTTTCCTTCACAAAATTTTTTCGAGAGAAAAAGTGCATCATGATAATAAGTCAACTATGGTCTACAGCACGAGCATATTTTTATAGAATTATTTTTTGAATATAAAATTTTTTTTTGTTTGTTTTCGTTCTTGATCATTTTGAAATATTATCTCTTCTATTTAGACTAACTATTGAAAGTATAATAAAAATTTTGACTTTTTTTTTAATAATCTGATGTCGATCGATCGACGAATAATTTTTTTTCAAGTAAGAGAGAAAGAGAAACAATCATATATATATATATATATTTTTAATAAATTATTTATTGTGGATGCCCATACTGTTGTGTTCCATAAGGTGTTTGTGGATTTTGATAATGATACCACTTATTATTTGTCATATTTGGATGCTGTTGTGATGTCATATGATATGATGAAGATACAGATGATGATGATGATGAAGGTGCACTTACAAAAGGTGCTGTGGATGTCATGTAAAGTGTAGTAGTTGTTGTTGCTGCCAACGGATAACGTGGAATTAATGGTGGAGGTGGCATATGAGAGTATGGAGCAGAATAAGCACCATGATAATGTTGAGGAAAATTAGGTGAAGAATAAGGTCCTGTTCCAAGATTTGGTGTACTATTATTAGTATTATTGGTAGTAGTAGTAGTAGTAGTATTAGTATTTGGTGTGAAATGAATCGTTCCAGTATTTGATGGTACATTAGTAAGCGTATATAAATTTGAAGCGTAACTGCCAGGTGTTGAATGACATTGAAGTGGTTGTTGAGAAAGTCCACTTATTTTATTTGTTGTTCTTGTAGTTGAAGAAGTAGAAGATGAAGATAATGTAGTAGATTTAGTCGTATCATCTGTAGGCACGAGTGTAGATTCGACAACAGGTATATCGTCGTCTTTCGCTGAACTTTCTTCTTCACCCATTATTCTAAAATTTTCAATAAATTGTTAATTTTGATCTGTTTGATATGTTTTACCTGAGTCTAGCTAGTCTATATTCAAGTTCACGTTGTTCATAAGTTTTAATAGCAGGTTTTGTTGATTGAGACGATAAAGAAGGTGAAGAAAAAACAGGTGTTGTTATTGATTGTGAAGTATTAGTTGCATCTTTAGTATGATTACGTGGAATGATCGACACGACAGGCACTGTTATAGACGAAGAAGTATTAGTAGGAAAAGGCGAATTACTGTTATTAGTATTATTGTTATTATTTAATGCTGCTGCAGAAGTAGTAGTGGTTGGTATTAAAGAATTAGTTACATCATTATTAGTTGGTAATTGGCATTGACTGGTCGGCCGTTTAAGAATTCGAATTGGTTTGTTCGAATTCATAAAATTGATACTTGATGAAGTTCGACTGTCATCATCATTCACAATGGATGATATAGTAGACATAGTAGGTTCCTGGTATAACTAAACAAAAATTCGATTCAATTTAGATGTTTAAAAAAAATCGTTATTGAAATATTCATGTAATAATGTCACACTTGTTAGCATGGCTATAAATTCTCTGAAAGGAAAAGCGCAAATAACACGCCTATAAAACATTGAAATGTTTCATTTAGTTTTTCCAGGTAATTTAATAATATGAAATCGGCAACTCTTAATCTATTATTAACAAAAAGACTAGTTTGTCGATATTTGAAAAACAAATGGATATCATTTGGCAACATGTATTTAAGTTATTCAAAGTATCTAATAAGTCTAATGAGAGAACTGCAATATGTGATTCATAACTTTTGCGCTGATATATTTCTTTCATAAGTAGGACTCAGTGAGATTAGAAAAAGCTTTAACGGATAAGAATACATGGGTCTTTTTTCTCCAGTTATGACCATCTTTGCTAGGTTTATCACTTATAATAAGGGATTTACTGAAAATTCAAAATATAGAATTTCGATCTGAAAAGTTCCCTGCATATAGATCTCATGACCCTTAAACATTACAATAAAAACAAATGCTTCTTCCTCGAGATAGTGAGCTTTAGAGAAAAGTTGATTTTCCTGACATGTGATACAACGAGTCTATTTCTTGAGATAGAATCATTCGTTTCTATTGTGAAATTTTAATCGCTATGAGAGTCATAAGATCTACATGTAGAGAAATTTTCATATTGAGATTCTGTAGTTTGAGCGTTCGATAAATCTCTTATTATAAGTAATAAAACTACCAAAAATGGTCATAGATTGAGAAAAAAAGGCCAATGGACCCTTATCCTTTTAGATTTTTTCTCATGTCATTGGTTTCTACTCATGGGAAAAATATCAGCAAAATCGCTATGAATCACTTGGAACGATTTCCTCTTGAGACGCGTATCTTTAATAAATCTTCATTCAACATCATATTTCATATCAATCAAAAACAACAATTTTGATTCTTAGCAATGAATTTGTTGATATGTATTTCATGAGATTAATAACTAGAATTTAATTTACAAATTAGAATGTAAATTTTTCTCTTAATTATTTCTTGATTATTAGCATTGAAAAACAGTTTCATATAATTTTTCTATTTAAAATTTTAAATCTCGAAAGTCTAAAATATTTTCAATTGATCAATGTCTATATACATGTCAATGATTCAAAAGATCGATAATTAATCTCAAAAGAAAATACAATAATATCATCAATTTCGAAAAAAAAATTCAAATTCGTCAAGAAAGAGAAAGGAAATCATTTCTATAAATAAAAACAACTGAAATTATTGATTGATAATGTTTCATTATCAAAACAAAGTCTCTGATAGTACATATTTATCAACAAACGATTATTTAGAAAATATTCATACTCAACATATGAAATTAGATTTTAATAACTCGATTAACGTCACCGATATCTATCTATTTTATATTGTAAATAAGCAATTACAATCAAATCTTTTCGACGACTTAATCATTTTTAATAATTTACTAGAATTTTCTTATATCATAACCATTACTATATTTTCCACAGGAAGATCAACTATTTAGAATTTATATGTAGGAATTATAAAATCCTAAAGATTCAATCAGCTTCGTTTTCTAAAAAAAGAAAAATATAATATTTCATGCTTAAAGATTGTTGATATCTTTAATAAAAATTTCATATCAAGTCAACATTTTATTTTTCAATATCGAGATATGAACAAAGTTATTTCCTTTAAAATTAAAATCTACTAAATAATGACAACTATTACACACTTTCAAAACTCTATAGATTGTTATAAACCTAGTAGAAGATCGTGTACAGACTCCAAAATCATTCCTCTTGTATTTAAGACTTTCATACAATAAAGAAAAAAAATTTACTTGATTAGCTGCACGAGCTTTTTCTTGTTGTTCAAGTCGTTTATCAAATTCGCCCGTATCGACAGCTACTTCCCAATCATCATTATCATTCCCCATTGTTGTTGTTGTTGTTGTTACTGTATCCACCATAACTTTTTTAAAATTTAATATCAAATTAATGTGTTATAATAAACACAAACAAAAGGAAAGTTTCAATCCAATAAAAAAAAAACAATTTGTTACTTCTTTTGTTTTTTTAATCTGCTTAAATAAGCATTGTAATAGATAAATGAATATAGGAGAACAAAACCGAAACCGAAACCGACGATGAGAACAGTCGTATATAGAGAAAGATGATGGTAAAATCTATAATCAAACAAAGAAAAAAAAACACATAAGTCGTAAGAGAAGAAAAAAAGAAAGAACATGATGATAAAAGATTTGTATTGTATTGATGTTTTGCAAACAAAAGCCGTAAA